CTGTCACAAATATCTTCTTCTAGTGCGGATTCGATGGCAAAATAACAAATAGGTAACTAATCTAGACTCATAATTTTAATAACGTTAAATGTCGTGAATTTCTTTGTAATTACAAGCAACATTTAGGGCGCCTGCCCTTCCGTTTCTTGGGCACCACACCTTTGCAGGTCCTGCATGGACCACAGCAGGGTATATCTTGGTCCTCACATTGAATCTCTTTGCAAGAATGTGCGGCCGGCTTCGCTTTGGCGGGAGCGCGTGGTGTAACCAATTCGACCTATTGATAAACCACTATTAAAACAATACGATCCTGTTTGTTCAAATGTCAAAAAGTGTTTAATGCCTGGAGGTGTTGGTTAGAAGGTTTTTGAAAGCTAGCTAATCGCCTACTTTTTATCAATGAATAACAAAAACAAGTTAGTAACTTTTATCACATTTGAGAGTCGAATGAAAACGTTTCTTATGAACACTGATTATGATTCTAGGGAAAAGTTTGATTATGCTTACAAAAAACATTCAGAGCATTTGACGAACTTTTATATTTAAATCACAAAAAGTATCCCAACGAAGTGTCGGGTTAGGCTATAACAATTAAAATTAAAAGATTTAAATTGATCTTATACTCATTGAAAAATTAATCAACGTTTATGTATACTGAATATACATGGAGTTTTATATTATTACTAGCTGACCGGGCAAATGTCGTTTTGCCATATTTATCATTTATAATAAAAAAATAGGGGTTGATCCAAGAGGGGTGAAAATTAGGGGTTGTATGTATTTTTGTATGCTGTATTATAAAAAAATAAAACCAAAAAAAATTTTCTAAAAAATTCAAACCAAGTTTTTGGTGTGGACACCCCTTATCACTTAGGGGTTTGAAAGATAGTAGCCGATTCTCAAACTAACTGAATATGCATAAAAAATTTCATAAGAATCGGTCGAGCCGTTTCGGAGGATTATTAATTTAGGAGGAACGAAAATTGTGACACGAGAATTTTATATATTAGATATAGATGGTCAAAATTGAGTGAAGTCGGTTTTACCTCAATGTTTCCTGTGCGGTTCGGTTCATCAGTCTGCTTGCCAATTTTCAAAATAAACACATCCTTGTCTGGATGGAGAACTTTTTGTGCCTGGACGCCTTTTGGAGCATCTTGAGGCGTGACATTACATACGTTACAAAGATTGTCATGCGCCTCAGCCTTACTGTACACAACTTCAGAGTTTAAGGCAGTACGTTTGGTCATTGCTTCACATATATCATCAGGTATCTGTAACGAAGAAATACATTAGAATATAGTCCGCGCGAGTTCAAATGAAAGAAAGATCTCGTCTTCTGCCATATTCACAACACAGCTGATATAAAGTTACCGGCATGTTTACTTCTACTGTACATGTATATATCGGAACTAGCTGTTCCTCGCGGTTTTACTTGCTACATATAATTAAAACTCGTACTCTCCATAAATTCGCGCGACGGCGTTTGCCCATTGTTCTGTGGCAAAGTTATTTTCCGACGACTTTTCTCTTAAGATTTTTATTGAAAACATTCGTTTTCAAAAATTCTGTTAGATCGAAATTTATTTTTTAATACAGTTGCTCAAAAAGTGGCGTATTGCAGGGATGTATAGCGTTCGGGATGTGGGCTATTGCCTATTACACAGTCGTGCTTTTTTTTTACCTTTTCCGAACTAGTGCGTTTTCTTTCCCAACTGTCAAAATAATGTCTATTAAAAAGAAAAAACCAACCACGAAGTTTTTACTAAAAAAAAAATCATAGCAATTTTTATGATTCATGCAAATATTTCTAAAAAGAAGCTACTGCTTTGTTTCAATATCAGATTTAATGATTTGATTCAATGAGTTAGGTTAGGTTTCATTTCATCTCATTAAATTTCGTTTCATATCAATAAAAAATTGTACTGAAGACTTGGCTGTATGGGCACAGTTCCCTTTGCCTACCCAGAATGGGTGAAGAAAAAAAAAAATCTGCTTATATTCTTTTACGGTTGGCGCCATTTTCCATAAATGTTCTTTGCGCGTTTAGTTGTTTGTTATATTATATATTAAATATACATGAACAATCATACGAAATTAATAATAGTTTGTCTCAAACAGTAAATAAATATGCAACCTAAAACTTCTCCAGTTAGTATAAAAAACTGTACCAATGTATATGTGAACAATAATTTGTATAAGAAATAAATGAATAGTTAGTTGAGTTTATTGTGTTTTTATTATTTTATTAAATTGCATAGTTTTTTCGCAGCTGTATTAAAAATAGTTGTTCAGTACACGTGCGGAACCGTCATTGCAACTTGTTCGGCTGCGCCTCGGCTCGGGTAGACATTTGTCGAAACTCTTTGCAATGACAGGCTTTCCGCACTTGTAATGAAATATACTATTATATCCACGCACAGCTCCTACTCCCGCCCACAATAGAAGATTCGATTCGTCGACCAATATTTTTTTTTAAAATCGGATGTTTAATTAAAATGTAAAAATTTCCTCTTGGGATATTAATAAACTATACTGTACTTTATATATTAAATGCTTTTATCAACATTACCAAGTAAAATGAGAAACATTAATATTAAATATTTCTGGTGCAGTTGATGACTATATTATATTGAAATTAAAAAAAAAATGTTTTTATTAATATTTTACTTAGGTAATCAGCATTATTTAAATATAGTAGTGTATTACCTAAATCTCATATTTTATATTTACTGCAATAAAACAGTGGTACTTATTTATATTGATCATATTACATGATGCAATGCTAAACCATCGTATATCATGTATCCGAGTTTTCCACGAACTAAACACCTGACATTGCAAAAAGACTACATCGTAAATTGGAATTATTTTACATAAATATATGCTGTGTCAGCCTAGTGATTAAGCGTGCGATTCTCAACTCTGCGCTCGTGCGTTGGACCTCTAGCGTGCACCAACATTATTTTCATCAACATGAGACGTGATGTGTTATATGAGGTAATGTCTTAAGCCGAAAAATCCATGACTTAGGCAAAGAAGCTTATTATATTGTCATATTTGAAATCTATTTATCGAATGCTAGATTCTAAAACGGTTGTAGTGCCTTTGATAATTATTATTAGACAACCAGCCTTATCGTAAGATAGGCATTTTTATAGATAAGGGCTAATTAGTGCAATATTCATCAGTGTATTCAATTGTAATTGAATTCAATAATTTTCTATAGCAAAAGCAAGATATATAACATAGGTACAAGGATCCAGAGCGATAGACAGGCGAGCTGAGTTACTGGTTTAAAATTTTAGACACTTAAATAAATTACTTAGAGTACCAGTGTAAAAAACTACCTGAAAATTTAGCCTGTTTCCTCCAGCGCCTCCTTCACCTGGAAGACCACAGGTTTCAGAACAGACAGACTCGTTATCTTCACAGGTGCATTGGTTTTGCAACTTCAGCTGGGACGCAGTCAGTTTCGGAGGTTTTGAAGTACTTTTCGGAACACGGATTTTAACCTTTATTAAAAAAAAAAATATTCAGTAATTTTTTAATTAATTTAAGGTAATTTGGTAGTAGGTTGGTCTCTTCTATAGAACGTACGATATGTACCAATTACGATTTCTAATTTTGAAAAAAAAAATGCATCTGGACGTCTGTGGGGAACTTTTAGATAATAATAGATAGATAGTATGTTTTCCTATAGTAATTTTTATTATAGTATTACTTTCTAAGTAACCAGTGTATTTTCCTTTACAGATAGAACATTGTGACTGACACGTTTCTTTGATTCATTCGTACTTTTGTTGTTTGAAGTTTCTTTCTTAAAAAGTCGTCAAAAATATGGGCATGGAGCGTACACAGTCGTGTATCTGTTATACGAGTAGCTACCTACTCGTATAACAGATGCCTACGCCCTACTCGATTAAGAGATTACGCGAGTTTATACATTACCTCATTTCCGTTAAAGATAGCGCCGATCTCCTCGTACGGTTTACGTGTCGTAGGCCCACCAGATTTGCCCATGATTAGAATTTAAGTGGTTTAAATATTAATTAACTTTTAATTTCGATGCAATGACGCCATGATACTTCTCTGACAAGTCTTTTTTGCATAGACAAACATTTGAGGAATGTAAAAAGAGGATGGAAATGATATGAACCATAGACAAAGTTATTGCCAGACTTTTCGCTCACTTTAGGCTCACAAGGAACACAATGTCTTCGCTCTTATATATCTACAAAAGCTGATCTCGCATCTTATTAGTCCATGATAGACAATAACTGCTTTTTTTTCTAATAAATAATTAAAGGACATACATACCTACATCGAACTTGCAAAACAAAAATGTCCGGATCAGTTTCGCTGTCGTTATTAGAAGGTACAGAGTAAGGGCTGGTACAGGTCATTGCGATGAACTACGTGACTTGGGCATGCAGTAGTGGACTAACACAACTCCATTCTATGTCTTATATGTATTCAAGAAATCGGTGAACATATTTGTCATGTTCCAAATACATCCGAGAGCTGCTCAAGTTTTTCATACAAATATGTATATATTGTTACTACTTCATAGATATTCATTTACATGTTATGAGGCGCAACAAAATTTGTAAGTGTTTGCCGGTAAGCTGAATAATTAGTATTTTAAGTATGATTAAATTTCGCGTAATATTTCTAGCTAAGAGAAGTAAGGGCTGAAGGCCTTCGGCAAATAAAAATTAAAAATAGATTTAGCATTTCAATTAATAAAAGCAACCATTATAGCAGAGTTGCATTAGAGTGGATCTACCCACTAAAGCCGTTACAAAAAAGCTATATAAATGATGAGTTCAAATTAAAAAAAAACATTTCTGTACAAGTGGGACGTAATGAAGCGACTCGAGGGTTCTTATAAACCGTGGGTGTTATTGGAGATACAAAATAATTTTAGTATACAAATGAAACAATAATTATAATCCGAACTGAAAGCAATTTAATGTACTGTATTTGACAATTTTGTACTATTTTTTCTTTTTCTTGGACTTTGTACAACAGCACGGGGAAGGTTCAGGATCACATTGGGTCTCTCTGGTATCGATTCGCCCTGGTGCCTTCTTTTCGGGCCCCTTTGGGGTCACCAACTCTAGTTCCATTTTGCAACGACGATCTCCATTCGGCCCGATTTTTGCTACCTGTATTCATATTTTTTAATTATGTATCAGAATATATAACTTCTATCTACATATGTATAGTATGTAAAACTGACCTGTCTGATTTAGCAGCCGTTATAATGTATCAATATCGTCAATTAATATTTGAACGATTTTTGGAAATTCACGCTTATGGTTTTAGTACCGTTTTATATTGTAAAATAAAGCTTAAAGATTGTGAAGATTAAAGATAAATTGTTTCCATAGTAATTTAAAATTTGATGCTTTTTATGTTGCAGGAGGCTCATCTGATGTTAAGTAATACCGCCGCCCACTCGCACTGCCAGAAGGCTCGCATGCGCGCTACCGGCCTTTTAAGAATTGGTACGCTCTTTTCTTATAGGACACTAAGTCGAATTGGTTCGTAAATACTTCAGTGGGCAGCTGGTTCCACAGAGTAGTGGTGCGCGGCAGAAATTGGCTTAAGTAACGCTCATTTGTGGAATGACGGACGTCAAGGTGATACGAATGGTATTCTGTATTCTGCCTTGACGTCCGTGCTTAACCAACTTCAAATAGGAGGTTCTTAGTCTGACGAAGTATGTGATATTTCACGTCCTTCATTTGTTCAGTATATGTGTAAGAGTTTCTCGCAAAATTCATATGTGTTTTCCTTATTCGGCAAAGAAAGATGAGGTAAGCTTTAAACCCAAAAAGACAGTTGTGTATTTGGCACAGCAGGCTACTTGCCCATTAGAAGAAAAAAACAAATAATCACAAATGCCAGGGCCAGACCTACAGAGCTTGTATCGACTTTTTTTCAATATAATTAAAACTATTGTACTCACTTTAAGAACGAACACGTCTTTCTTCGGATGAAGTACTGCCTGTGCTGCTCCAGGTCCCGGTACATTAGTTGGTATCATATTACACAACAGAGGACACGGTCCCTTTCTTTTCCCCGAATTTTCCATTGATTTAACTTTACCTTGTACTTGAGTTCCCTTTGAATCTAATTTGGCTGCCATTGTATAAATTTTTAGGGCCGAAATTAATAATTATAACTTTTAATGCATGTCAAAATGTGTTATTCCCAATTTTGTTTCAGCAGTGACATTTTGGAAAGATACTACACAGCACCTAACAGCAGACTTCAGTGTATGTATTAATAAATAGTTATTATCTATGTTCTCATAGATTATAGATGTCTATAGAGTAATGTTAGTACGTCCCGTCCACTAAGGACATCGTGGCTCTATTCTGAGCGTGTGCTATTGATACATAGGTAGTCTTAAGCGGGCCATAGACGGACCGCATGTTGCAGTCAAGACCGACTGCAATATGCGGTTTGCTCAGGAACTGCTTGAGCGGTCCGTGTATTGCGAATATGAATTTAGTATGGAAATTGCTGATCGCCGTGCGGCGACCGCTTAGAGCAGTCGGTGTCGGCTGCAATATTCGGTCCGTCTATGGCCCGCTTTAGGCGAATGTTAAAACATTTTTATTGTATGAGAAAAATACACTATAATAAAGATGTTTTATACGAATAAATAATGTAAACGATTTAAAAACAGGAATGACCTCGTGATACTGCGTAGGTCGTGTTATTGTAAAAATATAAATACAATTTGTTTTCTCAGTAAATTCTGAAAGGTTGAAATAGACTCCTAATTGAAAGTCCTATTTTTATATCCAACTAGCTGCCCCCGCGAACTTCGTTTCTCCTTAATTTGATTTTACTTAGCCTTCCTTTTTAGTACCTACCAAGATTTTGCTACTTTTTAACGATTTTCCGGAATGAAAACTGTTTAGGGTTTTCTGTGATTTTTCTCTATATAAACCTCAGAGTTTCAAGTTATAAGTTCTTAGCTAACAAATAAAAAATAGGGGTTGATCTTAGAGGGTAGATGAAAATTAAGAGTTGTATGTATTTTTGTATCACAAAAAAATCAAAACAAAATTTTTTAAAAAATAAAAATTAGTGTCCACCTCAAAAATATTATTTTTATTTTTTATTTTTATCACTTAGGGGTTTGAAAGATAGTAGCTGATTCTCAGACTTACTGAATATGCATAAAAAATCATAAGTATCGGTCGAGCCCTTTCGGAGGAGTATGGGAACGAACATTGTGACACGAGAATTTTATTATATACAAATATAAAAGTGCCCAATTAATTAAGCTTTAATTTTGTATGAATTCTATTTATTCTTAATTTAGCGATAGCTTAATAAATAAAGGTGCATTTTAAATAATAAATACTTTGTCATGTCGAGCTGCTATGCTACTTAGTTTCCATAAATAAAAATACAAAACAGTTTATAGCAATGTATTAACTATTATATCTAATGCTAATACTGAATTATATCTATTTTCTGATTTAGCAACCGCAGCAGGATGAACAATTACTTCTGCAGCACTTGGGCGGCTTACATGGGGCTACTGAGCAGCATTTTCTCGGTGGGCAAGGTAATGGAATGGCACAGCATCCAGGCATACTGCGGCACTTTACTACGGGGCATGCCTTAACTCTATTATTGCACGGGGACTGATGTTTCTTGTGCGCTTTGATTTTTGGTTGACTTTTAGTCTTACGTGGGCGCTTACGACCAATTGGACATGGCTTCAAGCAAGGTGAACTCTTGCACGGTAATCTACAGCATGGAGGGCTACAGGGCTTCTTACATGGTGGCGGTGGAAAAGGAATACAAGAGCTACAAGGTTTTCCACAACAGCTTGTCTTGCAACATTTTTTACATGGCGGTCGGCACGGCTGACCACATGGTTTTTTTTTGCAGCATTTAGGCCTACATGGTGATGGTTTGCAAACTATTAACTTACATTTTGATGGTCTACATGGCCCTGGAAAGGTACATGGTATAGGACATGGTGATCCACAAGGTGGTGGACGGGAAGGTGGGGGTGTCCATTCAAGAAGAAGTTCATTTTTGGCTAGTGGTGCACCTGTTATTCTTCTAATAACTAGTTCAAAAACGCCTCTTCGTGCATTCGTAACTGTAGTAACCTTTACAGGGGCTGAACTTTCACCGGAAGATGCTACAATGCACTTTGGCCCCTGACACGGATCTTTACCATGCACGGGGCAAGGTTCCTTTGGTCCTATTTTAATATGTGATACAGTCGCCATCATCTCCCCCTTTGATGCAGTCAAAGCAGGGCAAGGTTTTTCAGGCTTGTCGTCTTTTATTGTAACAGATTTATAAGTACCTGTTGATGTGTTTGCACCCAATTTCCGTTTTGTTTGAGATGAGCAAGTACTTTGGTCTTTAGATCGTGTCGTTTTGGTAGCTGTACTTTTACAAGCTGCAGATGGAGGTTTTCCAGTTTTACATAGTTTTGTTTTAGATTCTTTTCCTCCCATCCCCTTTTCTGGCTCTTTCTTTCTCCCGAAAAAGTAAACTTCTGAATAATTCATTGCACCTGTAACGTATCGAACACTGTCTTGTGGCGGTATAGTTGACATCGTGTAGCTGGAATACTGGTCAGAATTCATATCGTAGGAGTTTCTGTCGCTGCGAACTTGAAAACATTTGTTTATAAGTGCCGTAGCCTGAGTACCTGAACTTTTACTAGGACAGTATTCATCAAAAAGGGTCATGTATACAGCCGTTTCCCTTGCACCAAATGCACTTTCCGTTTCACAATAATTCCTTATATCAAAACTGTTATATGAACTTCTTGGATAGAAAGCTTCTGTGTTTCTTTTATAACAGGTGCTTGTCAAGGAGCTATAGGACAAATTCAAATTTGTATAGGTTCGTGAAGTTTCTTCAGATAATAACTTCATTGGAGCCGTCGTCTTAGGGGTTGTTAGTATACTATTTTCGCAGGAAGGTAAAAGTAATACGTTGTTATACACTTTCATAAGCTTATTACATTTATCTAAAGGAAGTTCCACGCTGCTTTTTGTGAGTAATTTATTTATTTGTTCATCGTTCAGTTCTTGGTAGAATAGAGAGCTCGACAGGACACCTACGGTAATGTGTGCATTTTATTTCTTTGTAAGAATATATAAAAATAATAAAAATTTTATACTACTTTAAAATGAGAACATAAAAAAATTCCAATAACAACGTTTTATTCAAAATTTTACAGTAAACAAAGTCACAAAGTGTTTTTTTATATTAACAATGTCTCCTGCAACAGTCGGGACATGTTGGTATACATTGGGCTGTACGCGTGTCTTTGACTGGAATAACTTTTTCTCCCGTCTCAACAGGAGTGATAAACTGGTATTCTAATGTTGACTTTCGGTTAGCCATCTCTATGACTTTGCCGACACGAATTTTTATTATTTGTTTTGGAAAGTCATAAACTGCTCCTGGGTAATTTTCCGCGGTAGGAGATATTAAATGTCCCGGTTCGTCTCGCGCTAAGTCGCCAACACCGTCAGATGTAAAATTAAAATATGCACGTTGTTTATGTCCATTTCCACAAGAATCCGTTGGTACTTGGAATATGACTTTGTTCCCAGTCGGGCAGCAATCTGCGTAATGCGTAATGTATAAACGTATGAATTATGTAGACGTTTTAAAAATTAAAATAAAATTTGTTAAGTAATTAAAATTTTGAAAGTTAAGATTACATATTTAGTAAAATATTAAACATTTGATAGATCAACGCTTCTTTTTAGTCTTCTGCTTCTTAATGCGCCTCACACCACATTCACAATCAAGGTCAGATTGAATTCTTGTATTTTGTTTAGTTATTGGTGGATCCTTATCTGCCGCCTTTGGAGTCGCCAGTTCTATTTCGAGTCTACATTTCCTATCTCCTTGAAGTGCCGTTTTAGCTACTTTAAGTACATATACATCTTTGTTAGGTAGATCCTGCTGATTGTCACCACGAGCCATGGTGGCCTGTGTACCATGCTTTGTAGACTGAAGACACCCTTCTGTTGTACAGGTGAATTGTGTGTCAGCCGGTCGAGCTCCATGGCAACAGATTGCTTCACTCGGCAGTGCCAAACTTATTTGATTTTTCCCACATGGGGGCTCACAAGGTCCACCGTCAGCAGACTTGGTGCTAAAAGGGCATTGCATAGCGCAATGCGTTTGACTTATTTTCTTGATGATTGATGCACTGGCGGGAACTTTTATCTTAAGCTCATTTTCACCGAGTGTTGTCCCTATCTCTTCAAATTGCTTAGTGCGACCTGGTCATTAATAAATTCTGTTTACCAGTTTAACAGTTTAGTTGAAAATGTATTGGGCATATTTTTGCCCTAATGAACCTAAAGTTTTTTTATACATTACGAGTAACAAAAAGCTGTTGAATTTTAGTGCTTACTATGAATATATTTTTGATAAAAAATACATAGTATTTAAATACTGTTGTCTGCTCACCTTTAGGAACATGTAAACAATATTGGTCAGTATTTCGGCAGGCCATTTTTTGTTTTTCAGCCGGTTTGGGTCCAGAACAATAACATGGATCATCAGGATCTACGCACGGCATAGTATTGTAAGGATCTCGGGCTAAAATGTAGTTAATGGTTTTAAAATGTGGTAGTATATCATAATAAAAAATAAAAAAATTGACAATGACACTTTCTTATTAAGACTTAATCATAAATTTATTAATAAATATTTAATCAGTATACCAGGAGGACAAACGGCGCCACCTCCAGTGCAAGTGTGTCCACCTGAACCACCTGCCCCGCCATGGCCTCTCGCCGCACCACACGCGCAAGGATCATCTGTTGACTGAAAGTCCTTTTTAGGAGTACACGACCTATCTACAAGCCCTGAACTTCCCCTAGCTGTTCCACCCAAGCTAGGCGCACCACCGCTTGCCCCTTGAAATGAAGTTATGATCAACTTTCCGAAGCAGGATATTCGTAAAAACATTACGATCTCCCCGGTCTCTTCACCGTCAGGTCCAACGAATCGAAATGAATCCTTCAATGCTTGATAGCTGACGCTAGTTGGATCTTCTAGGAAATTCTTCCTTGTTTCAACAAATTCTTTTGTCATATCTATTGTGCATTCACCCATAACTATTTTTGTTGGTAGACAACCACATGGAAGCGATTTATACACCGTTACTTTTACAGGAAATTTGCTCATGGCAGCACTAATGTCACTTTCTTTGAGCGAAAAAAGACATGATTTTCCTGTGTTGAATTGTTTAACGAATGGCCCACCACTTCTTGCAATCCCCACATTTGGATCATCATCACATACTTCTAAGGGCTCAACTCCATTGCACTCGATGTTAACACATGTTCTAAAATCTTTGTCTGAAAAACAAGGACTTTTAACAAATACAATTTTATCTATCAATACTTCCAAAAGGAAGAGACTGTCATCGTTTTTCGACATTGTTAATAATAAAGGGATGGGAGTTTATTTTTTAAAATTTTTAATTTTACAACATATTTCTGTAAATTTTGAAGTTAACAAAAGAATGATTCTGTCATATTTTTTTAGTACTTGTTTCTGATTTTTCTTCTTTTATATCACTGTAAAATTAAAGGTTCCTTATTGTGTCATAGATTAATATACGAGAGGTTTTCTGTGGCATCTATTCAGTGATGTTTATCTTCCCCCACTTAAATAGTATAGTTACACAACAAGATTTATTTAGGGTTTGTGTCCCTTAAAAAGCCTTGGCTTAATATTATTAGAAACATATTTTGTACGTGGGATGAAATGTCAAAGGGCAATAAGTAACCTTGTTTATTTCCGGAGATAAGGCGCAGATGCAATTTTATCTGCAATGCGTCATTTTCAGCGCATGTCAAATATTTATCGATAACCAGGAGTTACAGGGGTGTGAGGGCCATCCCATCAATATACGAAAATTAATGCTGGAAGTATCTGGTCTAACATAGTAAAAATTTAAAGTTGAAACACACACGAAATACACTAAATTACCTAAGATTCCAGGTGTAATGTATACATTTAGAAAGCTTTTTAAGCTCACCCAGTCTTAAAAATGAAAACATTGGTTTCATTGGTTTTGTTCATTAAAAGATTACATTTCATCATATTTAATAGCTGTTATTTTGTAGTTGATTTTGCGTCGGTAACACCAAATGTATAAAAATCCTACAAGTTCTATGATATTATGTAGATATATAAATATGTAAATGGGAAGCCGGGAGACGGGAGCTGGGTGGCACCGGGAGGCATCCACCTCCAACCCACCTCCCAGATTTACCCTGAAAGGGATGTAGGTGCATACAACTGCGTCATTGCATGGAGCGCATGTCCTGAATGCATTGATTTATTACTGTAGAGTATGGGTACGGGTGGCTGGCTTATAGATTTGTCCACCCCTGTTGCTATCGGAAGACTGTATAAGCTAGTTATAGCTTCGTCATATCAACTTAAATAACTTAATCAATCCTTCTTTTAAAGGGTTTTATTTATCTTTACTTATTTGAGATTATAAATTGAGAGTAATGATAATTGTACATGCACTCGATGAAAATTACATTTACATATCATGCACGTTTCATAATACAGAGACAAAAAAGAGAAACTTATTTTTATACAGATAGATGTGTGTCTCACTTATTTTAAAGCAGTACCAGTTTTCTGTTAATACAGCGTGGCAACCCCACTACCTCAATTTTTTTGTTAGTTTAAATTTCCTGTTTCTGTTCATATTATTAACTCGTAATACCCACGATTTTGTAATTGCCTTGGTCATTGTACCACAATCATGAGAGCGGTGTAAATGAAGCTATTTTTTAAACAATACCTCTATAATATCTTTTTCTAACAAAACCTTTAATTTAAAAAAAATTGATTAGTAACGTTATGGTGTACATGTAGCGACATAATAATTCTCGAGTTTTTATAGAACAATCAATAAAACACGTGTGTACGTTTATTGTATTTAATTGCATATCAATTCTAGAATTAATAAACTGTAATTAGAAATAAAACGCGATGATTTTATATTGAATACTAAAATGTGTAATGTTTCGGTTATTTTGAGAATTTTCTCATAATACAAGGATATTTTACTGGTTTATAATGCTCATAATACCAGTTACATGCTTCGTGCTGGAACGGGCGACCAACCCTGGAAGAGAAGTATTAGTTAGTACAAGATAATTTAATATTTACTAAGAGAGATTTAGGCTGTAGAGTTGACTCAGATAGAGATAGATAGACCCTAAGACGCATAGTCCAAACTTAGCGCTACGTATGACTCCCGTACCTCAAAATACATTATTTTTCATAGAACTCTGAATCTTACACTGAAAGACACGCTAAAGTGCAAACTTGCTCTTACATCTAAATCATAGACCATAGAATAGAGGGGTTAATTAGCACTTGTGACTTGTCTCTGGATTGTAAGGTTTCTTTATAATTATTTACTGCCTTCGAGATTTTCTACGTGGAATTATAATGTTTTTATATATAATAATTCAATAAATGTAAATTGCAAGCAACTCATAATAACATAGAATACATAAAACTATATATAACTGAATTAAACTGTTTTCGCTCATAATAACAAACACGTATTTTACATACGAGATAGTGTGTGTAAACTTGAAAAAAGTGCATACTCTGAATGTTACTAACTGAATGTAAATAATCAATAGCTATTCTGTTTCCCAGTTTTAATTACAAGATTAAGCGTTTCCTTACAGTGTAAATACAGAAAGAGTACTATAGTTTAAAAATTGCAATAAGATTTAGTATCGATATAATAGAATTTATTAATAAGAACCTCCGTTCTTATTAATAAATTAATCTGTATATCTCCATACAAAAGATACATTATCTTAATTATTATTTAGTTACCTAATACAAAACAAAAAATAATAATAATATTATTAAGTTACAAAAGAAAATGTATAATAATTAACAAAGAACTGCTATGAACGGCATACCCTAGTAAATGTAATACTTGTAAATGTAATACTGTAATTTTCCAGGACTTATCTTTTGTTAAAAAATAAACATATTGCTTTTATTAACATTCAGGATGCGCCGGCGTCACCGCTCGATATAATTCATTACAGCATCGTTAACTTAACGTATGATAAATTTAACATTGATGATTTTAAACAGTATATTAAAGGAGACTAGTGGTAGGGGAGCCCACGATGCTAAATGGGGATTTACTCGAGCGTCGTAGAGACCTATTGGGATGCAAAGCTTAGATAAAAAGAAGAAAAAAATGTTATATGATAAATTCCTTTTCATCGGTGGGGGAAGCGGCTATAGATAGTTAAATATGTAAAAAAAAACTGTTGCATGGACATCCTCGAGCGCGTCAGATATTGATAGCATCTATGCCCTACGTATTTTTAATAATGTACGTATGTTAATCTGATCATTTGCATGATGCGGGTGGTTGTATTTAAGGGTTGAAAATTAAAAAAAAAAAAAAAATTATCGAGCGCGTCAGATTTTCTAAGGGAGTGTTAAGTGCACCAAAAAAAAAGCTCTCATTCACTAATCTGACGATTTCGATGGGACGCAAACCCACAGCCATTTTCTTAATTTGCAAAAAAAAATTGCAATTTTGAAATACTCAAGCGCGTCAGATTAAGATATATGTGGTTCATCTTTATGTTCTAAACATACTGTCTCATAATCTGACGATTATCTAGAGGGATTCGCCTGATCTGACAAAAAAAAATAGAAAAACGGTTCACCTAAAGGGTCATCCCTGCAACTTCCCGCTAATTCCATTCCTGGGCGCTTAAAATTGATATTTTGAGCTCGCTGAGTTCAAAGAAATAACATTTCTATGCATTTGAGCTCTCCCAGCTCGAAAGTCTGATAGAAGTTTCATAGAACACTATTTTTGGAATTTTCAAACCGCAATAACTTTTGAATGGATCAAGCAATTTTCACGCGGTTGGCGGCATTCGACGCAGTTTTATCATCCTCATAAGTAATTTTGCAATTTTAATTGATCGAACCACAAATTTCGGAGTAATCCCGAAAAAACACTTTTTCGGGTTTCTTTCGTGTACGATATCTCTCGAACGAATCAACCGCTTTTGACCAGCTTGGTGGCGATCGACGTGGTTTTTCAAGCTCAAAGGTGGATTAGTTTTTGAAGTTGATCGATAAAGAAACCACTTTAAAAAAAAATATTTCTTATTTTTTTAAGATTTTTCAAAATTTCTCAAAATCTATCGGTCCGAATCGGTTCAAATTCACAGGAAATGTAATTTTGAGGGAAATATTTAGAACGCCGTTTAGTAGATTCCGATCGGTTTAAGGAAATGTAGGCATCACGCAGCTGCACGCATTTAACTTTATCGACGAATTTTTGTTGCTTGCGGCTTGCGGAAATCGTCAGATTATATATTTTTCATTATTCTTGAATTATTTCCTTCAAAATAAAAAAAAAATTAGCTACGCTCGAGAATGTCGAGATGACGTTTTTTTTTTACAACTTTGTTGCCCTCCCCTTTTTTTCCGTCACTCTCAAATTGTCAGATTAGTGGAATATACACTTTTTAGGATGTAATTAACTCACCCTACCTTAATCTGACGCGCTCGGGAATTTCTGATGGTCAATTTTTTTTTACTAAACTGATCCTGTCTCCTTCACGTGCGGCTTTATATATGGGCCTCATATTTTGTGGAGGTACTTAACCGGGTACAAGGTATCCCCTATATATTAATCTGCCGCGCTTTAGTAAATCCCGAAATCCCCTCTTGGGCTCCCCTACCATAGGAATCTACAGATTCAGGAGAATTAGGGAAGTTGTTGTAATTATCAAATCTTTAACTCTATTAATTTCTTAGAAGTCTTAACCAGTTCCACCGATAGAGGTAGAAAAATCTGCCGGACCACACATGCTATTTTGAAAAGAGATTAAATTAGGAATAAAATATTATTTCATATAAATGAGGATGAAATGAAGTCTATATTCGTCAAATACATCAGCGTAAACTTATATATTGACAATTAATAAATGAATAAATTATGTTAATGTCTCTGAAGTTCCACATATGCCCTCGGTACGCAGAAGCTTTCGATATGTAAGTATTTAATGTAAGTATTCTCTTACGTTCACTAAACAGTATAGTTAAGAGGACCGATGTGTATAGATAGGGTACTTACTCATGCATCATAACACTTATTTCTTGAGGAGATAGAGTAGCAGATACATCTGGATAGTATCGCCATCGTTTTTGAGTCGATGTTTGTTCCAGAGGTGATACTGGATATATGACATCCGATATGTTCACCTTCGTGCAATCACGACATAGTGCATCATTCTGTTGAAACCAAATCAAAGTTTAGAAAACATCTGAATGGTTTTATAGAAGTAAATTATAATAGATATGTACTAGGATATTTTAAGCACTGGTCCATATACAAAAACTAAATTTTATTTTGAGGGCTGTTAAAATCGTTATTTAGAAGTTTTTATACACCAGATACACTAATTAACAACTAGGAATAATTATATTCTGTACACAGAAATCAACCGCGTGATGCTTACATACCAAAGCCATTTTAACAAATTCAGATATAATGTACAAAAAAACAAAGGTCCTTAAATCTGAATTCTACGCAGGGAAAGTTGGGCTTCGTACTAAACACGCGGTCTGTTGACAAAGACATGCACCATATTGCATATATATCGCCCATATTTTACCGTATATACCGTTTAATATTCTTATATCCTTTACCCAACGCAAGGCTCGCAACAATGAAAAACAATATTTGTGATTTAAATCTACATTGAAATGGAACAACAACCAGAAGTTTTCCAGTCTGCTTGAAATCATCACATGCATGTAGACGCCGATCTTGAACACAGTCCAAGTCATACTGATATGACCTGGGAAACACGTCTTGGTGCGCTGAACAAATGAGAAATTGTAAGTTTCCTATAAGATTTTATACATTGATGCTCTTGCCTTTGTATTCTATATTTTCTAAAGGTCAACTGTCGAGTGGATAATATATTCGAAGAGATCTGACTTACGCGGTAAGACTTTTTCAGTAGTCATGCCATAGTTATAATACGCGTCGTGTAAGGTGTAGGCGTTCGAGCCAGGCTTATCAACCCAGAAAGCTTTGTCCTTCTTGACCATTTTATCTATTACAGCATCTGGTAATTCGTCTATTGTTGGCCTAATAAGAAAAATATATGATGCATTTGTGAGAGCTGAAGAATTGCCTCTTTTATGTTATACAGATTAGGACGTAAATTAAAGGTATGTAATGCGTTTTTTAGGATGTTTTAAATTTACAATAAAGCTTGAGTAATTAATAATAATCCAGTCCAAAAAATTTCGTGATCGTGTACTTTTGGGTATGCAAGAATTAACTTTTGAATCACATTTTTTTTAACTAACTGTATTAATATATATCCTGGGATCAAAGAGGGTGATTTAAGCGATCAGAATCACTAATCTTTAATCTTAAAATATCCATAAGGCGCTTACTGCATGAATAAATAAAAAATAAAAAATTGCGAAGTATGCCTTAAGACTATAATAATTATATTCCTATTTGATAGCAATACCGCTTTGTAAAAAAAAATTAAATATAAATTTTTAAATTAACCAGCAGCAAAATATATGTTATTCAATGCGGAATTTTGCACATAATATATCGGATAAATAAATGTTTCTACTCAAAAGGCTGAAGTTGAAAAGAATTGATGAGGAGATTACCTCATATCCTTTGCCCAGTAAATGTACCAAATTAACGAAATCGCTAGAATGGTTTATAGTAGTACTAGTAGTACTTTCTTTATTTTTTAAAACAAACCTCGGTGGTACTTCTACTAAAGCCCTCGTCAATGGTTGAAGGAATTTTCCAACTGTTTGTTGCGTCAACACCGGAGGCCTTCCTGGTGTCAAACTTTCATTGGTCTTCACTGTTAGTGATACATCGTCAATAGCATATCTGCAATATAATAAGCACTGTGTCTGTAATTTTAAACAGTAGTTGAATGTTTTAAATATATTCTTGTTATGTCTTTACTTATCAGGATCGTAACCAGTGAATTTAGAAACATTGCTTTGAGGATTAGAAGGGTGTTGTGTAGAATCCATTTTAATAAAGCTCAAAAGGATAAAAACGACAATAATTGGAATGGAAATTAGTTATCAATCATTTAAAATCAACGCTCAAAATTTAATTTCTTATTTTTGGCTGTCTGTTTCTACAGAATTGATATTCTATTTGAAGAGCAAAATGTCAGGACTTGTAAATTGTCAATAATGTCATCTAGTAAAAGTTCAGCCAGTATCTGCCTGCTAGTTAAGTTTATCTATTGTATTCAATATAAAAATTTGTTGTGACTCACTTTATTTCATTGAAAAATATTCAAAAATATAATGTCTAGAAATATAGTTTTTGAGGGTTGGTTAACAAAATCACCACCATCAAGACGAATTTTTAAAATAGTAAGTAAACAAACAAAATGACTAAGAATACTTTGCGGGGCTAGAAGTGCCAAAGATTTTTTTACGAATAAGCCCTAGCGACTGCATTCTCTCATGATTTATATTAAATCACTATTTAGATTTTATTATTATTTTCATATTTTTACCTGATATGTGCTAAATTCGAATGGTGTGGTATTCAGAAATGGCGGAGGAGATGGTTTGCATTACGACAATCTGGTGAACTACCAGGGCAGTACTTCCTAGACTATTACTCTGATAGAAACAGACGGCGTTTAAAGGGCTCTATAAATCTTGATCTTTGTGAGCAAGTGAGTTTCTGATTTTAAATATTTCTTTGCAGCAATAGGTTGTAATACTAATAACCTCAGACTAGTGGTAATAATCATAATGAGTGTCATGTCACCAGTTTTGAGTGACTAGATAGTTTAGTAAATATTGTAATTTGATACATACATGTAAACTATATAGTTGTGTCTCACAGTCGCAACACATAAGAGTAAGAATTTCATAAATAGTTGTAACCACTATATGTTTGCATGAAGTTCTTATGATCTGCAGGAAGAATGTCATTTTATATACTTACATTCCATTTTTTATTTTGTTGATATAAACTAAATTCTTAAATTGTAAACTATAAACAAAATCTAATTATTTTAGATATAACCATTTTATTCACTTTATTTATTTGTCAATAAAAATGTACTTATATGAAAAGAATACATATATACCCCTTACAGACCTATTGGCAACCAATTCTTTCAAATAAGAACTGGTTAAGACTTACTGAGCATCGTATAAATTATTTTTAGATTAATTCATTTTACTTTTATAATATTTCATTTTTTAATCAATCATTTATGCTTTTATTAGTTACACATAATGCAAAAAGCTTAATTTATTTTAAGAAAATAGAGAACATTGTTACCTGATACTACATATAGTAAAAATAATTGCTTGTTTGGCAATTATCAAATAACCCTGCATCAGACATTGTCAGTACTAGTTACATTCCCAGTAAAGTTAATGTAAACTATATAATATGATATGTAAGTTTTACTTTATGATATTCAATTCCTCTTTCTATGTTTTACACTTAAACTTGCAAGTTGTGTTCCTCTTTTTCATTTGAATTAGATTTTTATATTTTAAATTTATGGAAAGTTTTTGTAAAATATAGTGCAGATTAGCCAAATGTAAGTTTAAAATGTTATAATAATAAATACCACACTAATATTTTCTGACTAAATAATTAAATTAATAATTATTATTATTATCTTTTATTTTTAAAAATAAATAATTTAAAAAATATTATAAAATTTGTATAAATTTTATAATATTCTTTCACAATTTTAAATGTTTCTGTAGGAGTTTGTAAAATATGCATATATAATGTGGAGGTCCTAGGTCTAGTCCTATTCTATAGCCTTAAAAATAATATTCAAAAAGTCATAGAATAGTCATGGCACTGCTGTATGCGTATATATAACCCTGTATGATTATATATAATCCTAATATTAATGATTAACTAAAGTGGTTTTCAAAAATATTTAACATATGGTAGGTTGATGCTGGTTTGCACATGACTCGTAACAGTACTGGAATACTGGATCCTCGAATACGTGGCTCAGTTTTCTCAATTCAAACTCAATCAAGAACGTATCATTTGGAAGCAGATTGTGAGGCAGATATGGAAAAGTGGGTTGATGCAATATGTCGTGTTTGTGGCTTAAGGGCTACAAGCACACCTCCGGAACCAGTTGTTACAAGTAAGTCTTTTATTTATTTAGTATGTGGTTTTGCTTACTAAATTATATATATAGTTATTTAAAAACTTCAGAAATAAGTAAGAACACATAGACCACCGGTGATTTTGTTAAAAACAGGAAATCACTATGAACTTTATAATTCTAAAATTCGCCTAAAAAACCTTTTTTTTTAAATTTATTGTAACCATAGGTCACTTGAAAGACTTGGGTGCTAGATACTATTGAGAACTCTGCTACCAGTATATTTTTTTGCAGTGATTTACTAAAAAAGCACTCTTATTCCATACTGTTCAAAATTACATATTAAATGAGTGTTACTATTGTTATTATACTCTTAGTCTAAGTTAGTTATTGTTCTTTCTGTTACTATGAGTTCTGCAGTATGGACCCCTTTTGGTTTTTTCAACTCTCTTATGTGTTTCTAATAATTTCTCTCTCATCAATTGGTTCAACTGTTTTTGTTAGTGTCACATTGATAAAGCTTTTGATTAGCGGTACTTGATCCTAGTCATTTGTTTTGTATAAATCTTGATAATACTTTGGAGTTTGTTTATTAACATGTTGTCTTCTTTTTATACTTCTATATTTATAGAGGTTCTTTAGGATAATTTATTGTCTTTATACATTTTGATTACTTTAAAAAAAATTGTCCTTGTTTTTGTGTTTCTTGGTTGGTTATCTTCTTATAAGTTCTATAGTTCATCAGAGAGCAGTGTTGGCCTTGTGGCTTCAGCGTGAGACTGACATCCCTGAGGTCGTAGGGTCAATCTCCGGCTATGCACAAATAGACTTTCTTTGTATGTGCGCACTTAACATTCACTCGAACGGTAAAGGAATTCATCGTGATTAACCGATCTTGGCCCTAAACCCAAACAGTCGACGGCGTGTGTCAGGCACAGGAGGCTGATCACCTACTTGCCTATTCGTTTGACATATTATCATGAACAATATTCAGAAATCTGAGGCCCAGACCTAAAATGGTTGTAGCGTCACTGATTTATTTATTGTGTAGTTCATCATAAATACCATTAGTAAAAATAATCCAAAATTAACTTATTTCTCTTTCTTTCTTCAAGTTATATAATGTCTTATTTTACATTTGTATTTCAATATTGTTAATTCTATTGTTTTGTTCGAAACAAGTTTTATTGTAATTCTTTTTTTTTGTTTGTTTTAATACACACGTTAAAAAGTACAAGCAACATGCATCATGTTACACCTCTTGCAAAATTATTTTATTCGTATTATATTTTCTTACTATGGTAGGTATGTAACATGATATGTTATAGATTATCTGTTTTCTTGTTTGCAATTTTTTTTTATTATATTTCGTTTTTGCATTTATATCTAAGCAAAATTTAATTGTGAGTTATTGTCTATCTGTAGGGATAGTTTAGGTGTATAAAAGCGTTACGTGCTGTTAAAGCAGCGTGGGGCTGGGCTAGGGTTATCGTAGATACCACTAAGCAGCACCAAGACAAGAAATGGTATACCCATTTCTTGTTTCACTCGCCAAGAGAATACTCAATTTATACGTTTTTTACCATATAAAGTCTGCTGCGTAACACACAATACGCAATAACAGTAGAATTTAATTATATTTTCTGATGAATCACGATTCGAGATTTTGTTCAATCCAAAAAGGGTCATAAAAATACTGAAAACCTGCATAAGCAGTTATGCTACTTTTACATTATATACACACCCATATATGGTCATACATATATCATCCACACATATACACGTGTGGCATAATGAATGAATTATGTGGTACCTGCGGGTAAAGGACGTTTTGACGTTTGAGAAAAATATATTTTATGTTTAGTAAGTATCTCGATTTTTTTTAGATGTTTGGCATTTTTGAAAATCAAAAAATATTAAAAAAAATTCAATCTGTTTTCTGCGCAGCTATCTATTAATTATGCCACAACCCTTATATATGAACAGACTCCTCGAATAGAATAATCAATGCCGACCAGATGAATCCAAATTAATTAAATTATACAATACAACTTACATTTACAAATTTAATAAATTTCCTGAATTGAAATGTTTTTTAAGTAGCACCTTTAGATATACAGTTTATATTATGTGCATATCATCACGTCATTACGTGATATATACATATCACAAGTACAACAGGTAGAGTTGATAAGTGCCTTATTGTCTTGTTATATTTTTATTTAGGTATGAAATTCTAAAGTAAATTATCTTTAGTACCTAAGTTAGTTAGTATCTAAGTTTAAAAAAATGTTATTTTTTTGTTGGCATTTCTAAAATCTAACATGTCAAGTCACTTATTTTTAATGTATTCTAAAGAGATATAAAAGATTTTTCATGAAGACGCCACGTCAAAGGAAGCTGACATAATAAAATCTTGATGAAAGTGGATATGCTTTTAAAACTTATGTTGAAAGCAAATCAACCTACGTAGTTCTATTTCAAAATTAATTTTCTGGAAAATTCATCTCCCGTAAATGGAATGTTCGAGACCCACCTTACCGCCCACATGCCCTCATCCCTTTATGTCTAGAGCCCAGCCACCCGGCATGCGCATCTAGTCCGGTGCCTAGATGAAACATTCGCTCTCGAACAGTCACATAAGCAAGACGTGTCGAGTGTTAAACAAGTTTAATTAAAAAATATTATTATATTAATTTACTTAGGTACTCCTGCCCTTTGTGTGTTTTCTATCAAACAATTTTTTTCGTTTTTTTTTAATTTCCAATGTTTTTAATTTCGTTAAACCTTTTGTTGAAGTTATAACTGCAAGTGAAGAATTGCGCGAAATCGTCGTTCCCGGCACTGGTAAGTTTAAATGTAAAAGTTTCTTACACCTTTCTTTGTTCTTTGTGTGTAACATTACCGTTTTGATGTTTATAACTTACATTTATGTTTTGATGTATTTCCTTATATCTGTTTTGTCGTGATTTTCTGTAATTTTTGTCCTTGTACGAAGTATTTGGTGTGGGAATGTTGGTAGAGCTGCAGTGGTGTGAGGAACCGCTATCGCGACGGGAAGGGGCTCTTCCGGGTGGTATGAGAACGCCCCCTAGTGGGTAGGTTATCGGTGGCGTACCTTGCCTGCCACCTCCCGCCCCTCACTCCTCGCTCCATGCGATTTAATTTCGGTATAAAGCGAATGCGAAGTTCACCTGCAAATTTTGTCTGTTTGCGTATGGGGCTAAGGCGACATCCTAAGAGTAAAGAGGAATACGATTTATTTTATAGGTACATACCAAAACAGCACAATGACGGTTATGAATGATCAGTATGAATTTTCGGAGGGTACAGGACCTTATATACCGATATCTGAATGCATAACAGGAGTCCGTGCCGCGGTACTATTTTTATTTTACTTTTTTTTTTCTTGAGCTTCCATCCGCAAATTGGGCAGAGAAGATTATGCGACTCTGGTCATTCTTAATATCAAAATATCTAACTAATTGGGTACTCTGACCAATTTGTAGATGATTTTTATGCTGCTAAGTAGTCGTAGTCGCTATTTGTGATGTTTGTATTGCGATGTTTGCATTTTAACGTTATTCTATAAGGCGGCTTGCGATTTCTTTAAAATAAAAATAGTTTTTTAAAAATAAATAAATAAATAAAATTACCACATAGGTAATAAGCGGTGGTATTTATATTGAAAAATATTACCTGAACATTAAATAATTCAAAGTTTTTTTCCGAATTAGTATTGTATCATTTGAAATAAAGGAATTTTTCTAACGCAGCCGCCTTAGTAGGTATGCTTGATGGAAATCCGCTATAGAGAATTTAGAGCTTGCATCTGTTTTTATTCTGTACTTATTATTTGCTTTTAGGATTCCCAAAGTTCCTTCACCTTCGATCCTAATAATATAGTCATTGGTGCTAAGTCAACCTTCGAGGGGCCTGAAAAAGGTCTTCAGTATTTAAGTCATCCACACATTCGTATAAATAATGTTGACTTATCTGAAAATGAATCTAATATAAGCGACGAGGAATGTAAATCGCTCAATGCTAGTCATTCTAATATAGGTATGTATTAGTGTAGGTGGCAAATTTTTTGTAGGCATTTTTAAATTAAATTATTTCAAGCGAGCTAGATTATAGTACGAGATCCCGCTGCAGGATTGGTGTGCTCATCGACTTTTTGTTTAAAACCAAATTTTTATGTTTATTTATAATTAAGAGAATATATATTTACTAGGGTGCCTATCAAAATTTGGCCGCCATTATTTTTAATTGATTTTGGTAAAAAATTTCGTTTATTTATTTTTTAAATAAAATAACGTCTACGTCACGGTAATTAATATGAAGATTCTAAAAAATCACGGTTGCCGTTGCGCACCTGGCCGCACCTCTTTGCAGCCAGGTGTAAACAGGTATGATTTCGATAAATTTATACGTTTATAACCTATTTTTATTAATTATATGTCAAATTGAAGCAAATTTTTTTCTATTAATTATCATATAAAGTTGCTTAATTAAATCTGGCCGCAAATAAGGGTTACTGGCTGTTAAAGATAATAAATATTTAAGGTAGAGTGAAAGAGAGTTAGCGCGTAACATCATTTGTCAGACGAGGACAGCGATTGTCGGCTGTGCGACGCTTTTAAGCCATTGCGCATGCGTCGAACGTTAGTGTTCTCAACCACCGGGGAGTAATAGAGACGACTATAATAAATACTCCAAAAAATATGTAATTTTTTTCAAAATGACAAATTTAAAAATTGCAACAAAAAATTAATATTGATTTGATATATCGACGGTCTAGTTAGCAATTTGTCTAACTCCTTATTTTTTAGAGGGTGATTTTTTTAACATTTTGATGAAGCAATAATCCAAATACAAATAATTTGAATGATTCAAACTTAAATATTATATCTCTATTAGATATTAATGATATTAAACGGTTTTATAAATGATAATAAATTTAGAAGTCATTGTTTTTTTCGTACAAATAAAAGATTCTCTAAAATGGAGTTAGATAATTTGCTAACTAGACCGTCGATATATCAAATCAATATTAATTTTTTGTTGCAATTTTTAAATTTGTCATTTTGAAAAAAATTACATATTTTTTGGAGTATTTATTATAAGTCGTCTCTATTACTCTCCGGTGGTTGAGAACACTAACGTTCGACGCATGCGCAATGGCTTAAAAGCGTCGCACAGCCGACAATCGCTGTCCTCGTCTGACAAATGATGTTACGCGCTAACTCTCTTTCACTCTACCTTAAATATTTATTATCTTTAACAGCCAGTAACCCTTATTTGCGGCCAGATTTAATTAAGCAACTTTATATGATAATTAATAGAAAAAAATTTGCTTCAATTTGACATATAATTAATAAAAATAGGTTATAAACGTATAAATTTATCGAAATCATACCTGTTTACACCTGGCTGCAAAGAGGTGCGGCCAGGTGCGCAACGGCAACCGTGCTTTTTTAGAATCTTCATATTAATTACCGTGATGTAGACGTTAATTATTTAAAAAATAAATAAACGAATTTTTTTACCAAAAATCAATTAAAAATAATTTAATTAAAAATAATGGCGGCCAAATTTTGATAGGCACCCTAGTAAATATATATTCTCTTAATTATAAATAAACATAATAATTTGGTTTTAAACAAAAAGTCGATGAGCACACCAATCCTGCAGCGGGATCTTAGACTATTATACTTTAATACAAAAATCACTTCTGCTCAATTGAACTCAATCCCATTCATATAAGAAAACTTATAGATAGTTTACAGTGGTTTGAAAGAAAATTATATTTCCTGTGGTATATTCAAGCTAAGTACGCAGTACAACAGGTGAAACGAAACACAAAATTGATGGTGGGTTTCGTTTAATTGTGATTGGTCGTGCGAAAAATTATATCTTGTTGTTTGTATATTAGAGTGTCACTTAGGATTCATAGGATTTCAAGTGTTTAAGTAATTACGTAACTAATAATAAGGGATTAGTATGTCATTCAAGTCAATGAAACTTATTAATTGGAAATTTTAATGTATGGTAGTCAATTACAAAACTCGAATCAAATGTCTATTTAAAAAACACAGTAACAACCCCAACAGCCACGAAATAATCACGAATTTGTAATGCTTATGACTTAGGACAAAAATAGCTATTTGAGACTTTAGTTCACACCGTCACAAACGATTATATCAGATATAAAGAAATTATTATTTACAGCGAGATACGGTAATATACCGGATACCTGGCTACTTGCTAGATCTTACGTAAGACCGGGGCTCGATGATGAGAATAGACCTAACTTGAGAGCATCCGGGAGTGGCATCAGGGACAGACTTCAATTGAGGTTTTCGAGTTTCAACAAAGGAGAAAGGGCGAAGCCCAATAGCAGCCCTAGAGGAATAGGCGAGTCTGAAGAAGGTAAAAATTACAATTTATATGTAGGGTATAAATTGTAACAAATGTGTGTTAATTTTTTTAAGAAAAAAAAAGTTTTCATAAATATTTTTATTGAAACTTATTAGTATTTTAGATTTTTAGTTTTGTCCTAATTTGTATTTCAACAATTTTAGGCCCGCCGGTGCCGCCGCGGCCGCCGAAGAGCTTCGGCTTCATTAGGGAGCATAGAGAATCGTTCCAGGGACCTAAAATACAGGAGCCTGAAGGCGATAGATCTGTAAGGGTTTATAAGTATAAAAAATAACCTCTAAATGGGCGTAATTTACTGATCATGTATTGTTACCTTCACACAAAAAAATTATAACTGCGCTGTAAAAATAATCGCTAGACACGTTTGATGAACAATATCTTAACCGATAGATGTCGCCTTACTATATTTTTATTATACAGCTCTAAGTTTCTCAATTATTCGATTATTAAATTAAGAGCAACCTCAATTTAAGTATTAGTCTCGGCACGTATCTTGGCCAGACTTTGGAGTTTTCGAACATTGTTAGTTGGTATTAAAACTTATAAAACAAAGTCTACGCAGCTGACTGGCCAATATATTTGCCTGGATATGTACTTAAGCATTCATTTACATTATTATTTTGATGCACGTACAGAAACAAGAGTCGTTTGCATTACCATTTCAGCCCCCATTCCCCTGGCTTCGTTCGTCCCGAAGAATGTCTCAAGAGCAGCAGGTCGTTAATCGGCCAAGGGTCGATGATAACGCGTGTTGCCTCACCCATGTAAGACACAATGTAAATACCGTTCACTAACATTTCTAACACGTTTTGCTTGCGCGACGCAATTAATATTACTAACGAAATATTTTCATTAAAGACCGACCTCAAACAAACCGAACATTTGACATATTCTATACATTTCTGTAAAAATAACTAAGTGAACGTTTGTTTGAAGTCGGTTAAAACAATCACGTTGATGCAAAATGATCAGAATTGACGCATTCATTTTATTAGAGTGAAAATATAGGCTTAAGATTCAGTAACGAAACTTAGCTGAAAGTATGACCCGTATGTCAAATCTTATACGTTTTGGACACACGGGAGTCACGCTTGGCTCTTAGTCTCGTTTTGAATATTATCCTTACTGTTTGTACCACTAAGAACATTTTGTTTACACACTGGTTGGCTTGTAATAATGAAATATGCTTGCATTTTCTCAAACATTTGTCGATAATAACAAGTATTTTACGTCAGTGCAATAAATGCTTTCGCTTTTAAAGTTTAAACACGCTATCGAAATGGGGTATAGGAATTCCATTGAATTTACAATTTGTGTGCTGTAAATATTTAAGCTGCGGAATAAGATTTTTTATCGTATCGTTAAGATTGAAATTCGAAGATATCGATAAAATATTGTCATATCAAAATAAATTTAAAGCATTTTAAGTGAATAAAAAATCGTCAACTTACCACGGATTGATTAAAGATATTCAACAGATTGCGTTAGGGTAAAGCGCCATCTTGATTCTAGATAAATCTAGGTGGCGTTTCTCGGTTTGTTTTAGCGCCATCTCTGAGAAGCTCTCTAAACTACCGGGATTGTGAAACAGGATTTACATTATGTTGTTCATGTAGCCATAATAAGTGTGGGCCATACTTTATTGTAACTGTGAACTAGTTTTTTTAAATAATAGGAATAATAATACCGGTTTGTCAAGTCCTGCAAGTTTTCCACTTAACTTTAATATTATTTGCCATCTTGATTTTAATATTACAACGTAGCACACAATTCAAAGGTTTTTAATAAACGCTACGCAGATTGAAAAAGTCGAAACCATCCATAACAAATTATATTATGTCTTCTTTAAGTCTATTGAAATAGCTATTGAAGTTGCGTGATAAGCTCGCTGAGCTTGATCAGTACAATTATTGTAGATGCATATACTACGCTTAACTACTTTACACCTACAGTCTAAACTGAAAAACAGACAATATTATGATTAATAACAATCTAAAGGAAGAAGCTTTGAAGGATCCAGTGGCTGTTGTCGAAACGTTTCTATACACAGCAGTCGGAAACACTAGATAGCGTGATTCAGGGATTCGTCAATGTACTGATTGTCGCAGATAAGTGTAAAATAATAAATTAAATTCCAAAGCGTTACGCAACCAAAACATATTTAGATTAAGTTTAACCTGTTGAACGTATATTAAATGTTATTAAAATTTCAGTCTTTACAGCAATACTGCAATTTGTCGTCTCTGCCGCCGATAGTTGACAGGGCATTGAAGCCACGAATTGGTAGTACGGGCATCTGTCACATGAATCATGTTGCCGCTCAGGTAATAAACAATTGATATACTACTAAAAACCATACTCAGAGTCGTCAGTATTTTAGTTTTGCTAATAGCTGATGGGTATGTAAATATGGTAAATGTTTTTAAGCGTGTAAATTCTGGTTGGATAGTGAAATTTTTTTTTTATACAAACCGTTAGATTTTAATGAACGACTCTGGGTATGGCTAGCATTTATTTACATATTCTATATTAGATAGCGGTAGGTAGATTGGCAAATTGAGAGCGACTTTATTTTATATAGAACGATACTAAGGCTTGTATTTGAATTCGTATTTTAAGTTACAATCTTATTATGAGTACTGTCAACTATGTTGATCTGTATAGCTCTTATAAATAATAAACCAGTTCATATGCATCTTATTAATAAAAGTCCTCATTTGTGTCTTTCAAAACAGCCTAACACAATTTGACAGAAAATGACGAAAGAGCAGTTTTGTTGAAAGTGAGCAATTAAATTCTCTAATTCTATAGCGATTCCAATTATGAAATCTATAGTGAACTTAGTTGGCAGATATCATTGTGTAGGATTTACAATAATTAAACATAGATGGCGCTGATGGATCAAATTAGATAATCTAAGCATAGATGGCGCAATTTCTATAAAAGTATAAAGTTGCGTCATTAAATAATCGATAACGTTTTTAAACCTTCTTATTACATACTAACTCTTAATTTTGTTTTAGAATTACTTTTAAACATTATTAGTAAAGAGCGCCATCTATGTATAGCGTTACCCAACTTTACACATATCAGCGTCGTCTGTTTTCAATTATTTAAATTTGGCTATTAGAAGTTAATAAATTTCATTATTGAGAATCACAGAGAAAAAAACTATGATAAATTTTTAGAATATCTAAGACAGAGTAAAATTCATAGATTAAAGTATGTAGTATGTATTTGGATTTGAACTTAATAATAATTAGTTTATCGTAGCAAAAGTCTCGAAATTGCAAGAATTCTCGTATCGTTTTTTTAAATTTAACTTATTATTTTCAGACACTATTGACGATGCCTCCCGAAACTTCGACTAGGCGTGCCAAAGCGTCGGATACGTTGCAGTACCTTGACTTGGATCTTACACCCAAAAGTAATTCCAAGGTATTAATTGATTCCAAAAACATCCATTTACATCCTTATTTACGTTTGCTAAAGCGCTTTTCGGTCCTATCACCAGAACATAAATATAATATAACAGAAAGAGACCTGTGTGCACCTGCCGGTACGGTCGGAATGGTCAGTATATATCGTGCTCCTTGAGATCTCGTCAATATTTATTGTTGTGTAAACGCGGCGGAAATAAATTTTAAGCATATTGACATAAAATTCTAGATTTTTTAACGATTTTAAATTTGGACTAATGACTTCGATGTTACGTGTTTCAGTCACTGAACTTTTCATATCCTAATAGACTTTTTGATTTTATCAAGCAAGTGTTTTCAGGAACAGGATGAAAACGCACGCGTCAAGAATGCAAAATCATTTTCTGCGGAATCTCGTACCGATTATAAAACGGTTGACTTCGTGAAAACTGAAGCCTTTAACATTACACGACGCGATGCTGAGGCTTCTCGGAGTGTGCAACAATGACTAAACCCCATATACGGTAAAGTATACAAGAAATGTATAAACAAAAATGATTTATTTATACATTAAACTGTACACTATATCGTATATGAGGGAGAGCGTCACGACGCGTGGACTGTTGTGAGTGTAATATACTTTTGATAATCGCCTATTAAATTATAGTGTATTATAAACATTCGAAACCAAAACATTTTTCGCTAAACGTCTAAGAACAATTTATTAATATAAATATTTTAATAAGAGTAAACAAAATTTGTTTTAGTAAATATAGTTCAAATATTTCAGCAAATCTATAACACCTTTATCAAACAGGATTAACACTTGTAAAATACCTGAGAATATTAACTGAGCTATTATTTTAATTTAATTAATTTCCATTTTTCGATTATAACGAATTTATAATAACAATAAACCTATTTTCAAATTTGATGAAGCTTTAAGTGTTAGATGTGTTTCTCATATTCCCATTTTAATCACAATTGAATTTTGACATATTTACATCTTTGTTTGTTACGTAACTTCCCGAATCTTAAAACAAAAATCTTGATAAAATGTTGTGGATTGACCAATATTTATTTTCACGGTACATATATGAAAAATCGAGAATATTAATCATTTATAATTATAATCATTGTATACATTTTTGTTCCAAAACTACAAATTAGGACATTTTATGTTTTAAATGCCCTTATAAATTTTGTAATTCACGTGCGTGCATAAATATGAATTAAATGTAATGAGTAAATTTTTTAATATATATTGACAAATTTTTCTATTTCGTATAAAAATTAGTGAGATTTACAAAGGTCTACTTGTTGTGTTCCGTCATAATCATGTCATCATTTCAATGAATGACTAGATTTTTTAAAGGAAACAATTTATTATTTAGCAATTTGTATACTCCGTTAGCTAAATTAATAAAACAGTGAGAATATAGTGAGAAAATGGGCCTTTGAAATATGGTTCCGGGTATACAGGGATACGTTTATTAATAAAATAGGAGCCAAACCAACGTTATAAGATAATAAATTACTGAAAATATGTATTCTTATTCAAATGTCAAAACCAAAATTTAAAATTAGTATTTTTTTTATAGCGTAAAAATAGCATAGCTATTTTTTGTGTATATGTTACTGTAAAAGCTCGAACTACGGTTAATCTTAAGATTTAAGTATAAGTCTTAGGATTTACCGACATGAGTTGGTAAATGTAAGTATTTCTGAAAATACGACAATTTTTCGAGCTTTTACCATTCGAATTCAGTATATGCTAGGTTTTACCACTGTTCGCTGGTAGATGTTGGTTTTAGGAATAAAACAATGAGTAATTCTTAATTATTTACTTTAATGAACTATTAGACAAAAAAGGTACATAGTATTATAAAGGTATCATATGATAGTAATAAGTACAAACTAATACCAACTTACTTAAATTATTTTGAAAAAACACATAACGTATATCTCTGAATATCTCACCTACATAAGGTACCTAAAAAAAACATTTCACTTGTTACAACACGGATTGCTATTGTGGCATTTAGAATTACAAAGTAATCCTGATGCTGGTGCATTTTTTTGTTTTTCAACATTTACCGTGCCATTATTGTAAATCCTAAGATTTACCAACGGAATGGTGGTAAGAGTTCGAATCGCAAACCTTTTGGGACATTTACCATTAGGAATTGGTAGATCTTAGGTTTTACTGCAATATCTTAGGATTTACTGCAGTTCGAGCTTTTACAGTAACATATACACTACATGACCTAAACGTCGAAATTACTCGACTTGGTTTTGGCCTTAAAGTTTTAATTAACGATGACAATGAGATGTCAAATCCTGAAAGTTAGCACTAAGCTTTTTTTCGGATGATATCAAATGACATTATATTTTATAATCAGAATAATATTTTGTACGGTGTATGTTAGGAGTGAGTGAAGTCTGTTTGTGCCTTGAAATAGTGAGATTTAAAAGAAGTAGAAATTATTAGTTTGGCTCCTATTTTATTAAGAAACGTTAAGCATGACTATTGTTATTTATTAAATAACTTCATGCATTTGCTAAAATCAATACCTCCGCGAAATAGTAGCAGAGTAGAACGATGTAAGTTTTAGAAGCATTGCAGATTCTATTTTCGGTGCTTTAAATGTTGGCTAATGTTTAAAACTGCTGCATATTGAAAAAAATTAACTAGGCTTTTTAATTTGTGGCACAAATTGCATTTCCTATAAGCGTTGTAGAGCATTTGTTACAAACGATTGCTGTTTCCTTTTCATAGATTTTTTCAATTATCTACACAACACATTTTTAATTATGATTATTACTTCTTTCTCATCAATCTTGGCCTAATATGTCTTAGGTATGATTTAATTGCAGTCTTCCAATTCTGTTTATTAATACAAATGTAAATATAGATAGTGAAAGGGTATAAACTTCTATATAGTATGTATATAGAGAGTAGATTTTTATAAAAAATTAAAAAAAAACAAAACAAAAAATTTAAAATATTGTTAGAAATGATACGCACAATTAGAATAAGATATATTTTGTGTTGTGTCGATATATATTTTATTTTATTTTTTAAAAACCTTTAACAATTTTGTCTTATTTTTTACTTACTTGCGTAATTTAATTATGGTATTTCTTTAGGTACAAAATATTGTTTTAGCTTTACGTTGCCAAATATATTTAATTATCGCATTTTGGCATTATTGCATTATAATTTTTAATTTTAATTTTTGTAGACATTTAGTATGTAAACCTTGTATACGAAAGGCTTACCAGTACTTTAATTTTTGTTATTAAATAAATTTGATTATGATATTTTATTTTTGGTTTCATTTTTTTTATTTCCTAAGTTTTTTTTTATAATTGATAGTAGATAAAGGTTGTTTATGTTGTGATTTTTATTATATTTGTGCCAAATTTGTTATCGAACGTTCGATATTATGTTAATAATAGATCTTCAGAGAGGTTTTAATAGGATATGTAATACTTAGGTTTGAACAACATAATTTATTTAATAAATTAGAATAAAACGCGCTGTATAAAATATTGTTAATCTTAAAAATTCGGAATTATAACGTGATTTAAATTAAACATTTGTATAAATAATCCTGTATATAGATAGATATCGCTCTTGTAGTAAAAGGCAAGAATCACGTTCGAAGGCGTGGAAATCGATACGGTACGTTAAACAATCCGTAAGTAAAGAGTGACATGTATTGGCATGGTTCGGTTGCAATGGTTGTCCATATTGCACCAATGAGAAGTTTCGTGGAAATGCCGTATCTGCTATGAGTTAAAGAGCAATGTAACATCTTAGAATTTGCAATTAATGCTAATTATTATTTAGGTTTAGTAAAAGTAGTAATAAGACTCCAACGCACAACTAGCAAGTAAATGCCAAATTACAGTTCATATTCAGTTTTTTTTACGCATAATATCGTTTAGGGCGAGGGTAGGTGTAAAGCTACTTATTTAACTTTAAAGTCAGACAGCTGCCAATAGTCTTCTTGTTTTAATCATGTTTATCGCCTTTGAAGAAAATAATGTTTGTTTTAAAAAATAACAATAGGTACGTACGCGTTATCATCCTTTTATTAAATCACTTGTTTGAAATTCCTTTGCATCGCCTGTATTCCAAATCGAACCTTAGTGACCCGAGTATGAGCCAACTCAAGTCTAATCTTAAGATTGCAACCCGTTTTTTACCATGGCGATTCTCAAGATTAGATTGTCACTTAACACGTTTTTGAATACGGGCCTTTAAATTGACCTATATTAATCTGTAGCTCTACGGTGAGCTTAAGTAAATGATAGGATTAAATATTTAAAAAATATGCTCGAAACTTGTGAATATAAATTATGGGCAGGTATGCAACCGATATAACCGCAATAAATGTATATATTTGAATAGTTGAGGGCCTAATAGTGTTACTTAAAATAGGAAATTAATAGAAAATATATAGGCGCTCAATTTTTAAATGCGTTAGTTACGATTTAAATACATACATATGTACTTAAAAATAGCCTAAATTATATTATATTTTAGATCCAATTACAGCTGAGCTCTGTGAAAACTTATATTTATTTAACAAATAATTATTATCTAAGTTTATTGCAATTATTATCATAATATAAACCATTAAATTATACTTGTACTCATTGTATGTTAATAAAACTATGTCAATAATATAAAAGATGAAAGAATAACTCTTATTCGTAAAAACTAAATCAATGTATCAACAAACAAATTTAATTACACCGTAACAAAATCGTAAATTCAATTTGACAGAGATAATAGAGCATTGAATGAGATTTTATGAGTAAGGGCGATAAATATTAAAGTACCTTGGCCCGCGTAGCACCTCGGATGTTGGTACAATATTGTATTACTGAAGTAATAGGTAAAGATGACATTTTTTGTATCGGTAGTAGTACCTAAAAGCTACTTTAACACAACCACCAAACTTCTGTTATCGGCATTTAACGAGATTGAAATTTAAAAAAATGTCTTCTTAGTACATAATAAGTAGTTTAAACAGAATTTTCTACTATGATGCTAATGTTTGACTGTAAATATTGAATGCTCAGAAAAAGCTCGATTAAATCTGTGATAATCACAGACCGTACGCGTTCATTTAACCAACTAACAGTATATAAAGTTACCAAAGGATTGGTAAAGTATTAGTGAGTATAAGAGCATCGTTTGCTCACACCTTATTAATTATTTCTTACATACAGAGCTCCAATGTAAGAAGTAATTAATTAGGCCCTGACCGTGTCGAGGCGGTCTAAGAATACAAACCTCGACCCCATGTCGGGACACTAGGGTGTCGTAAGAGGCGACTAAACCCGACGGTGGAAGGGCAATTTCCGCCCGCCTGGTTAAAGTACCACCCTCCCAATGAAGCCAGCCTATTTGGCCCAAACGGGAGCACCAGTTTTCCCCTTTCGCCTATCCCTTTTTCTTCTCTACTCTTCTTTTCCTTTCCCTATCCTACGCCTTTAACTTCCTTCCTTTAAGTACTTTGATATGTTTAATCAGTATTTTGATGTTTACTAAATGTGTAGATTTGATGTGTAGTTCGATATAATCAATTATAACTAAATGTTAGATTTAAGCAATGTCCGATTTGTGCGTGATAATGGGTTAGCTGGGTGCGACGGTTTGGTGGAGAGAGATGGAAACCTATTTGATCTCAGATGTTGGACATTGAAATTCATTAGTCAGCATTATTTATGAAGTGTAATCCAGTGTCATACATGTTTAACGTCGTGCATTGCGCTCGTGTTGCCCGTCTATTTATGGCAATATTCGCCAATGTGTCTGTCGTACTAGAGCAGTATTATTCTTAGTAGCTTCAATCGTATTTTAGAACGTTATCACGTTAAACAATTTTAAGGTTTCTCTGATGGAACCCCAGATAAGATGCATTTATTAGATTTTAAGGACTATTAACAACAGCGATGTATAAGATATTGAAAGCCAATTTATTCAACCCATATAAGATGCATTTACTTATTAGATTTTAAGGACTAAGAAACAGCGATATATAAGATATTGAAAGCCACTATATTCAAGTATTAAATTAGTAATTATATTTAATCTCTCGGTGTTATGTGTCTGTAACCGTAGAGGCTGAATTTGACATTTTGGTTGTGTTGATACAGATGGGATTTAGAGATCGCAAATAGATGTTAGTTGAAAATCTGTGGAGCAAAGGAATTCAGCCTTAGCCTATAATTAAAATGCTCATATTATCTAGATGTCTATTATAAGTGTCTATTTATCGGTGTTTATGAAATACGACGCCCGCACTTTGTCACTTCCAAGGTTTTACCGTACTTTTTAAAAATATTTTCTTGTTTAGTTATTATTATTAGTTGAGATGTATTCATTCTTTCGAGTCTACTGAAATCACTACTGTATTTTCATATGCGGGTTTAATACGTGTTTTATGTGTAATAAAAAAATAATAAAATGTCTTGCTGTTTTAATACATAGTGGTTATTCTGACAACAACTAGATTATTCTCAACGCAAATCATACCTTAAAGTTTTTAAAGCTGTGTTGATTGTTTTTGAACAACAACAGTCAGTAGGTACTATAGTACAAGAACAAACACACGACCAAGAACTCGGAAAAACTTACTATTCTGTTTTGTCGTTTCGCATATACATATTTTTATTATATTTGTAGTTTGTAAACCATCATTAAAAGGGTTTCCAAACCTTACACATTGTAATGCATATGTACTTAAAATGAACACATTTTTTTTTATTTATCATAGTAGGGTTTTAGGTAATTTCACTAGACCATATACGAAGGCGCCATACTTTCGTCTTTAGTTTTGCTATACCCAGTTTTATGTAATTACTAGTTGTATTGCATAAGATTGCACATTTAACGGCCAAAAAACAATGTAAACTTTTAAGTGGAGTCTTTGAGTCTTTATAAATATCTCATTGCAGTAGGTCTCTAGTGAAGGGTATAATGACTATCCATCATACAGGTCAAGTGCAGGTTGGTGGCTGAAACATTGATTTTATTTTCTAAGTCACGCCGAGTCATTTTGAATAGAATAAATACATAGGGATTAAGAATCTACCAGGCTTTTAAGGCAGGGACAAGACTTGGTAGAAATGGACTGATTTGCGATTCCCATATTATTATTAACAAATCAAAGCTTCATAATTATTGCTTCGTCACATAAATTCCTAATATTCAAATCTTGATGCATTTTCATTTTAGTTAAGACTTAACACGAAAATGGATTTATCACAAAGTAGTCCTTTAACCAAGCCTTTTACTAGTTCTAATGAAAAAAAACCTGTGGTCCTTTTAGATCTGGGCCTCAGATTTCTATTATTTCATGTGCACCGAATTGCCTAGATGTGAATCTAGGCCTCAGCCTCGTGTGCCTGACACACGCTGTCGACTTTTTGGGTCTAAGGTTTTCGCATGTTTTCCTTCACTGTTCAAACGAATGTTAAACGCGCACATAGACAGAAGGTTCATTGGTGCACAGCTGGGGATCGAATCGACGACCTCAGGGATGAGAGTTGCAAGCTATAGCCACTACGCCACCACTGTTCTAGGTCTAAAGAGGTGTTCGATAAACGAGCAGTACACAGATACGACTTCTGCGTATTTCCGGGACTTTATAATAAAACAATTATTTCAGAATTACTCTTTATTAAGACATCAAAAATGTAGTACAGGATTTTTTTAAATTTAACATCAATATTAACGGTAATACATCAAAGGATTATATAAACCTGATTATATAGATTTTATAACTTTAGTTGACAACACCAATTTAATTGTAAAGAGCGCGTACGCTTAGAAATTACAAGAACGTCTATTCAGGAGTACAGTCGCAACATCACGTGAGTTTTCTATTAATTTTAATAGTATATTCTTAGTTGTTTAAAAGATCATTGGCGAAAAGGCTTAATACGAAGTTTAGTCAAGTCCTAATACATTGTTTTGATTTAAATGCACGAAACTGTACCTACAATATCCTATAATAACATTGAGATTCGATTACCATACATAGTTTAACATCAAGAAATAGTTATTCTAATAATTCAACAGATGGTCCATCCGCATCTTTCTCATTGGCACTAGATGAAATTGGCAGTGATAACCTTCGGAGTATTGATATAATTCGCAATTTTGGTTACTTTAAATTACTGCCTCGTGCCGATGTACACTGAGTTATCCTTTAGCCAGGCTGTGAGCGATCCTGGCCTGGGTCTCGCGATTCCCGCTCTCGGCGTGTGCGCGTACGCCGAGCGCGGGGTCAGCGCGGCGCCGGTCGGCCCCACCACCGGAGGCAGGAAGGGTCCACGGAACGAGCGCCGGCCGCACGCAGATAGGCTTCTTTGAGTACCTCCTGGTGTATAAAACATAATTTGTTGAAATAATATACTTCAATGAAATATTTGAATTCGCCTAAGCGCTTTTCTTTCTTGACGCATTCTAGCAGTCAAAATAATGTACCTATCCTATAACCATTGCTATATTTTTTGTGTTTTTTTTGTTTAAGTTATTTTTTGCCGTTGCCCTCGGTTTTGTAATGCAACGTCATCAAATAAATAACAAAATAGCGCTGAAATTTATAAAAACGCGCTTAAGCCAAACAAAGGGTGAGCGACCATTGCCCTTAGTACAGTTTAAACTTTAGTTATATCGCATTTTTATTATTCAAGATAAATATTCAAATGGCATCTTAAATTTGTGATTTTCTAACATTCTTGGATATTTTTATTTAAGTTGTATGTATTTTTTATTTAATATTAGATACAGACTTCCTGTACACACGGCTAAAATACAAAAACAACATCAAAATCGGTCCACACGTTTGAGAGAAGTTCACAAACACATACAGAAGATATAGTCCAAGTTATAAAACCATGTTACTTACTACAATTAGAATTATAAATGAAATTCAGTATATTATACGCATCATCCTACATATATAAATAATGAAAAAGAAAATGTTTTTATCTAGCCCTTCATCCCAACCTCCGTTTTGTCAGAGTAGCCTTTTTATCTGAACCAAATTAGTTCGTTCAAATGTCGCGGCATGTGTTCGCGCGTCATGTGTTTAATATATTTTTATTTAAAAAAAATTTAACGGTGTGACCATTTCTGTCCACCACAAATTTTCTGTCTACCGAAGCAATACCATACGACCTTCTTTACAATAATGTTATATATATATTTTTAAATATTAATAATACATGTAACCCTTACCTCCTTGGACAAGACAATATGTTTCCCTTTCCAATACTTCATAAGTCCTCTTTCTTGCAAAGTGGACACGATATCCGAAGACGCTATGCCCAAATTCTTGCTCAAGTCCCGTATGCTAAGAGCAGGTCCCTCGGCAATACATAGTTGGTTGAGGATCACCTCCCTCCAGTAGGACCGGTAAGATATGAGACCCAGGTCCGATAGAGGGGTTTCCGGTGAACCAACTTTGCCTTCTTCTTTCGTTAGAAGGTAGCCTAGGAGAGAATTTCTTGTTTTATGAGGGTAGAGCAGTGGTGGCCGTTGGTGGGTGTGGCTTAAGCAACCCTCAAACCCTTAGGAACTGGTTGTGAACCAGTGGACTTTACTTCTGGCTAGAAGGCAAACATCTTGAGGAAACTCGCCGTAGACAATTGATAACACGTGTAAAGAAGAATGATCATAGAAATGTATGCAACCTGAGGCCATATAAGCTCGCCTTGGTTTATTATTTTTATTATGGGTAGTCCGAAATATTTCCAAACAAAACAGTTACTATACTTACTAAAATCAATGAGCAGTCGCCCATAACCTTGCCTTTGATACGGAGGCAATGTTAGTATACACGAGACGTTGTAGTTCAGGAAAGAATTCTTTTCCTAAAAGAAAATAGATTTTTTCTCACAGAATATGTTAATAGACTCTACGTCAAGGGATTTCTAACTCTAGTTATAATTATTTACATGCTCAGATTATAGACATTATCAGCTAGTAGAATATGATTGTCGGTTTGAACATACGTACGTATGCGTATACAATTAGCAAACCATGTCCAAGACCCAAAAAACACAAGCATAAAAGGCAGATCCTAGTTTCCTACAAATTACAAAATATATATATATACGTATAATATATAAACACACACACACCGCTAGCTGTAACAAAAAAAATATATATAAAAATCTTAGGCTCTAGTCATTCATTAGCGTAATACGATTTAAACTTTCGTGGTAGAGTTACAACGGTTTTCTTTACTATGGATTTTGATACATTTTACATTGCGCTTAAGTGTATTTTATGTTACTCAACAATGTTGTGCATACCTTACTGAAGTACCCGATGATATGGCAACCCTCGCCATCAGCCGTAGTCATCACATAGAAGAGGAATGGTTCAACGTCATAGTACAGCGTTTTATGGTCGAGAAAGAATTTTGCGAGCAGGCAGAGTTGCTGGCAATACTGTTTTTGCTTGCGACCATCCACTTCCCATACGCTAAGCGAATCTTTTCTGTATATCTGTCCCAATCACACTTCATATTGTTGAACAGTGAAATAAATACGTAAGAAGCGTTCGTTTAACGTAATTATATTTAATAGTTGAAAAATGAATGAATAATCCAGGTTAAAAAAATAGAAGCAAGCCAACTTTACGGTTAAAAATATTTATTTCTCACTAAACAAAACAAATTTAAATTAAGTTACAAACGGAATCATAAAGGTAAATTAGATGTGCTATTCACAATAAATTTTCACTACATAAAAGTGAATTAGCATTGTATTTATGTAAAAAAACATAAGATGTGAAGGAAAATCAACATGGCGGAATATTGACACAGAATTTATGGGAACTGTAAAAGGTGCACAAGATTTACAAAATACGAAGAGACCAGATCAGAACTATGATCACAGACGCGCCTAATTCACGCCTTACAAATTAAATGAAATTGGGCAGGCCATATTGCAAGGTTTACAGACGAAAGATGGACCCGCCAACCCATTCAAGGGGACCTCCAAGAAACGTGGAAAGACCACAAAAGCAATGGGCTGACGATATCATAAAGGTTTCTTGGATGAAATGGCTGGAGGAAGCAAAGAACAGATCCAAATGGTAAGTTCAGGAGAAGGCATTTACCCAACCCAACCCATTTACTGCCATCTGGTTTGTATATTTTACAGTATGGAATTAAAATGGCTTTATTTAATATGTATGAAAGGTGCAATGCATCCATTTATGTATTTAATTTGAAGCTATTTTTTGCTAGCACTTACTTATGTTCAAAAAAATCCATAACCCTACGGGCTTATTAGATTTGTTTTAAATTGTTTGCGCCTTGTAGAATTTTTTTTTTAAGATGATCTCTCATTATCAAGAGGTGATCGGGCTTATTGGTATAATGCTTAAATCGAACCCAGTTCTCTTCAAATTTCTAATCCCATTTCTGAGCGGTCTCTTTTCAGCATAGGGTAAACACAATTTGACAGCAAGAGACGACGATAACAGTTTAGATAGATTTAGGGTTGACTGTAAGGAAAATCTCACCTCATCCCCCGGTGGGTGTCGCCAGACGCACTTAGCTCTGTGTCGATTTGCGCCGGTCTCGCAAGCTTGGTGCTTCAAACAAAACTCGCAGACGAAAAGTCGCGGCACCCTCGCCGCGGCCCCTGGATATGGAGACTGGTATAGAACCTCCATCATATATTTGCCCATCACCACATATCTGAAAAATTAAAGTGGTTAAGCGATTTTCAACTGGCTAGTTCACATCGTTCGAAAAGGAATTGTTACGATAGTCATTTAAGGAATTTTACGATTTTTTAATTCCCCCTGTTTAATAACAATTGAAAGGGGCAAACGAGGAGAAGGTTCGCTTGATGTTAACTAATACCGTGGCCCATGGACGCAAGAGCGTTTCCGGCTTCTTAAGAACGCAATTTTTTCTTAAAGGACTCTAAGTCGAATTGGTTCAGAATATCATTTAATCCGGAGTCCGGGGAGTCCGTGTTACTCGGGGAACCGATGAAGTGTGGCGTTTGGCCATAAAGCAGCGCCATCTGGATGTGTCGAATAAATTCGTCATGTATGGGTATTATTATGAAAAAAATCAATTCTTTAAACGCATATCATTAAATTTTTATCTAAATAAAGAACATTAAAATCACAGTATGGCTTTTTTATAATGCAAGAGATGTAATATGCATATTTTCGTAAAAGTACAAGGAATATATACATAACTAAAATCATACATAGCAGCATATGAATTTGTGATTTTTACACAAAATATAGTTATATTCCTAGATGTAAAGTTCGTACTTTTGTAAAAGCGCGAAACAGTGCGTGGCGCGCGACTAATTTTGAACTAGAGCTGTCGGCGACATCAAAGAATTTAGTGCATTTAAAAAGGTGTTAGTCATAAAGCGAGAAAGGACTCTCTTCACTAGTACTACATATTTACATAACATTTAAATATTTTTTATACATACAAAATTATTGCAGTATACATTGAGATGAAAAAGCCAGAAAAGTGACTTAAATTCGTTATTTTATTGAACTACGTGTGTACTACAAACCTAGTCCCTTTATCCGTTGGTATATCGTCCAATCCTTCCTCCTTTTTCACAGCAGCCAGCGCTTGCGCATCCCGGAATAGCCTTAGATCATAATCCGGCGCAAATCCATCGAGGACCGGCTCCCTTTCTTCATTGTAGTCTTCATTATTCGACTTTGCTCTCTTGTCATTTTTGCCTTTCCATTTGCTCCGCAAATCCTGAAAAAAACATATTCTGCAAATCTCAAACACATGTCGCAAATAGAATATATATTATATAATGGAATATTATTATATACCTATACATTTTGTTTATTTTTTAAAGCTCAACTATAACCGTTATATATTAAGATAAGCACACTGACATGTGTCAGACACAGAAGGCTGGTCACCAACTAGTTTGTAAATAATATAGGACCATAAGACACCCTTCACAGGCACTGTGTGTGGACGGTTTGTGTTAAAATTACTGTTAATTATTTTTTATAAATACATATATTTTATATTCATTTCTTTTCCGTACCCACGATCTAATTGTAACTGTACTTAAATAAAACACCAAGTTCACCTTGATTTTTAGCTGATAGGCACGCTGATCGATTGTGGGCATAGCTCGTGATCGGTTAGTCATAGAAGCCTTTGCTTTTTTCCCAATAGCGGCTGCAGCATTACGTTCTTCTGCAGCAGCTACGCACCAGGGGCCTGTTACGTTATGGTAGACGGGGCAAGCGTCGTAGGTAAAGTGTCTATCCGCCACTCCACCTGAAAATGTTGTTTTTAGTATAGGCAAGTTAATTAAATAATCTTACCACGACATTACATTTTATTATCTAAATCTACAGTTAAATAAATAGTTAAAATAATATACAAAGCAACACTAAGCGGACAGCAGCCTGGTTACCTTTATATATGGAAATAGCATCGCAACAAACACGACAACAAACATTATCTTTAGTCCACGTGTTCTAACAAGGCCGAATGAATTAATAATGTTACCTAAATGTCCAGTAGAGTCACATCCCCTAACTGGACACCTTTTCTCAGAGGGAGCTGTTGGTTGAGACGGGATGACTGGAGACTTAACCAGGGCCACTCGGGCTTTGGTTGGCCTTTTATCTTCTTTACTGGAAATACATTTACTTTTACTAGGCCTTGACCTATTAAATATTGCAGACCTTGACATTTCAGTAACTCTATTGATTACTTAATATGTAATAAAAATAAGTATTGGCAGCAGACGAAGTACCTATCACATATTCATAAAGGATAATATGAGATACCTTTTTCCGGTGCTTTTTCCTTCAGCATCAGATTCTGTGTCAGAATCTGAAGGATTGACTTTTGGCTTTCGCGAGGCCCGAGCGGTTTTCGAACGCGTTAACTTCCTCGGCGCAGTACCACCAACTGTTTCACTTGCTTCGCGGCTTGTGCTAGGTTTTTGGTCGTCTTGCTGATATAAAATAAAAACAAATTGAAAATATTGATGTTATCTCATGAATGTAAAATCAGTGTTCGACACAAGCTAAACACAATGTCTGTTGTTAAAGCAGTGCAATACTGAATAAGTTTATATGAAAATAAAGGTGCGACTACAAGGACACGCCCTAATTGCGTAAATAAAACAATTTGTTTTATTTTTGTTTCTTGACAACTCTATCTTTCTTACAGCTAGTCTCAATAATCTATCGATCAATTGCTATTCAGCAAGTAAATGATCTGAGTTCTGAGCCTGTCACACACCGTCGACTAAATGGTCTAAGCCCTAAGGCATGCCGGTTTTATTTACGGATTTCCTTTGCCGTACAGGTGACTCTTATGGGCACAATGTAAGAAAATTTCATTGGACAACCATGATTAGAACTCAATAATTCTAGGTTTAGAGTCGCGCCCCTAAGCATTAGATAGTACATTACACTAAAATTAAAAAGTCTTTCATGTGAAGTAAATTATTAAGAAGCATTTTACTAATTTGACTTTATTAAACTAAAAAGTAAGGTTGGTGGACTCATTTTCCGCACTTAGACTCATTATTGGTCCGTTGTGCGTAAAACTAAAAAGTATTTAAAATAATGAATTTTATACAAATTTGGTCAACTCTTCAAATCAATTACTTCAAAGTGCCGGAGCTCAGTGCATTTAAACTGTATCATATTATGTTTGGCATTTGGATATGATACCAGGTTCAGCAAACAGTTAATAAAAATAAAATATCCAGGATTAAATAGAGGATGAAACTAATATACTTCCTAAAAAACTATATAGCCATCTTCGATACTATGTGAATTATTGATATATGAGAGTCTGGAGATTGTGTATATAAAAATGTTTAAAAATTAAATTAATTTTTTTTATGTTTAATATATTATTCATGAAGCAATTATATTTGTAAAGAAAATGTACCATAAGTAAGTTGTTTATTTAATGGAATGTTACTATTAAATAAATGTTTAGTTGTCCTCACTTAACCCAGAAAGAACATACCAAACATTCAACAGCTTTTTATATATTAAAATCGCTTAAATAGCTTAAAGATATTTGAGTATTTATATATACTTAAGAGGCTTAGAAGCACTATTTGTGATTAAGAGAGAACAAACAAACTAGTAATTAATTATATCCAAAATGTTAGAAAACAAATTTGTACCTTGGGAGGCTTGGCTATAGCTGAATCTTTTTTCTTTTCTATCTCTTTCTCACTTTCTGATGATCCAGAATCTCCATATGATGGACATGACGTACACAATGGTGGTTTTTTGTTCTCAGGCACTTTCTTGGCAAGCTTTTGAGGTGCGTTTGACTTATTTGTTTTTTTCTTAACTGTAACTTCATTGTCTTTAGAGCTTGAAGTTGGTTTTTCAATGGGTTTTGAAGGTGAAACAATATTTTCTTCAGTTTGTTTTTTTTGTGCTTTCTTGGCTTTTGGAGGTGCCTTAGATCCAGTTTTAGGTTTATTTTTGCTCTCTGATTCAGAATCCGAGCTATTTTCAGGTGAAAATATACTCTTCTGCTTGGACAAGCTTTCACTTTTGATTGTTCGGTTTGTAGCTTTTGCAGTTCCCGATTTAGCCCCTGCAGATTTTGCTGTAGGTTTCTTCTTAACTAAAACGCTAGCAGCATTTTTCTTTTTTGGACCACCTCTTTGTCTTTGCGGCATTGGTTTGGGACTGGGTGCTTTTGACCTGTCTACTTCACTTGAGGATTTGTTTTTAGATTTAGCTGCTTTTGTTGGTTTGCATTCTTTTTCTTTCTTAGGTTCACTGGAAGGACCTTGTTTCGGTGATTTTGGTTCCGTTTTTGGTTGAATATCTGATGTTGATGTTTCAGAATCTGAACTACTGGAACCTGATCCTGAACTGGTTGAGCTAGATCCGCTACTACTGGAACCAGAGCTGGACCCAGAACTGCTTTCCGTGCTACTCTTGCTTACCTATTTAAATGAGATTGGCTCAATATTTATGTAATTTTTTAAAATACTATTTTCTTACTTGAACAATCAACATTTCTTAATTCTTAACATTGTTGTTACATTTAATATGATGCGATTTCTTAAATAATTTTTCTTTAACATATATTTTCTTGTAGGTATATACTTTTATTAAGCAATTGAAGGTTTATGTTTAAGAAGCTAGTATGTTTTTATAATAATATTCGTGGTTACTTTGTTAATTACAACAGAAAAAGACCGGATACAGTTAAAGAGCGTAAATCGTTGAAATAAAGTTTGAAACTATATTATAATCAATAAGTTATATACTTACTTCAGGTTTCTTCATTATATTCTTGAATTAACAATAAAAAGAACGCAGAAACATGAATATCAAATATAATTTTTTTTTTCACTGTAGGTAATAGGTATATGTATATCTATTATATTTAATGTAGGTAGATTGTAGGGTAGAAGGTATTGACTATTGAGTGTTTTGATACAGAAAAAGAAAAGGAGATAAAGTTTATGTCTCTTTCTAATGACATTTATGTTTCTGACAGTTTAAATTCATTATACATGCACTCACGTCAGTGAACTAAAGTTTGTTAATATACCTAAAATTAAATATGTATTTTTTTTGAGAGTTTTTAAAATATTTTGATTTGTTTTTCAGCACTTTTACTTCATACATAGTTCTTACTTCTTAGTTTAGTGTTGGAGCTGATCTTTGACGTTTGTCAGACTGACGTATGATACCAGATTGAGAGTTGCACTAAGATTGTCACAGTGACAGAAATCTAATTGACCTACAAACTATAATATGAAATGAGTAAAATCTATCTATTTAAATATCCTACGTTTTATATTATATTCGTTACGTTAAAAAGTTTCGAAATTGTATGAATGCTAAAAGAAGTCATCATAGGAAGAAACGTCCATTTAAAATAAAAATTAGTGGATGATGTAGGAACGATATCCAAATTGTTATCTTTTACTGATGTTAGATAATTAATTTAGCTATAAGTAATATATTGTTTTGTCTATGTTATTGGCGCCAGTATTAGAATTTCGAACAAGTAAAACCGGTTAAATGATGCCCATTACTATAATTATTGTTATTATACTTATGTTTCATTCTATTATTACATACGTATTACAATAACATAGATTGCAATATTGTATTACGTATTACCTAGCTCCACCACGTAACTTAGTCCGAAGGTTCTACGACACTTCAGTAGTTACACGTGCCCAAACTAGATGGCATTCATGTAGCGCCCTGCGCCTTTCATATCAAAAATTTCCTTACAGACATAACACGTGACGTCAAAACTTGTCTCGATTCCAATGTCAATGTTGAGTTTTATGTTTTAAGTAATTCCAAAATTGCGGTATCTGCAGGTCTAGTGATTTTGATCCCTACTCCTCCATTCGTACATGAAAATTGCAATATTATCTTTAATTTCTTGTCTCCCTTAGCAATCCGTAGTAACATTAGTAGTGACTCATTTTCTATTAAAAATCCGTATGCTTTTACAGAGTAGGCCTGTAGTGATACGAATATTAAAAATTGGGTGGTCCAGTTGTGGCACATTAGGGTCTGAAGCTAAAAACATCTATATTTTTTTTTTAATTATGCATTCTAGAATTGTTTTTTTCGGTACTTTTAATTCGGGGCCGTTTTGTTAGTATATTTTATTTTAAAAACACTCGAATTCAGGTGTTGATCAGGTCTAAAGGAATTTTTAAAATAAATAGGTAGCTGTTAACCAGTGTAGTGAAGTGAGTAATTGATGCTCTATAAAAAGATTACTATTGATTTGCTATTCAATTATACGACGTTTTTACGAGTTGTAACAATCTCTTGTGATTTATTATTACCAACTACTATTTGATGTCGCCGACAGCTTTAGTCCTAAAGTACGTGCGACGCTTTGTACATTGTACGTTACAGTACAACTATAACATAATTTATAACGAGAATTACGTGATAAGTATTAAATTGTAAAATTAAAAATGCAACAAAGGGTTAAGTTGCAACAAAATTTAGTTTTAGATCATAGGTATGCGACACGGCACTTATTGGTTATAGTCAAGATTTTTTTAAGTATTCAAACGACAATTCTGAATATTTATAAAAAGAACATAATATGTTTTGAGTTTGTTATGATTCAAACACAAGTTTTACCTTAATATGTTTAAATGGGAAAACGAGGTTTTTAGACTTTATGGCATTACAAAGCTAATTATAACGCCTTAACGTTTTTTCTACATTGCATATAATATACATAAAACATTTCTAGCTGTAGCTAAAAATCCTGTCATAATAATTTAATATTTAGAATTTACCTGTACAAATCGTACGACGAATATGTGTTAAATCCTAAACATTCTGTGTTTTTAGGTAAACCAAATACGTATTGTTTACGCCATCCAAAAAGGTGATTCGCTTTAAATTTCTTTGAATCACGCGATTTCAGCTGTGTTTGGACTTTGGATACCAATCGCCCAGAACACAAGGTTAGCGATAGGGTCGTCGTCTTTGAAAGCTTAGGGTGATGGCAGTTAAAATAGTTCACTCACGATCAAGGTAGAATTTTATTGTTGATTTCCTTATTTCTTGAAAACAAAATAACACTAACACCCACATCAGTTACCCGATAGTAATTAAATGCAATATTAGCCGCGGCCAGATCGCTGATTATTTTATGAAGTTGGTATAACTCAGCTAAAACGTCATAACTACAACGTTTGTCCGAGGTAGGACCTTAACAATAAGTGAAATAACGATCGGGGCGCGAATAATGACCTAAAAATACTTAGTGTCAATACAAATGTCTGTGACAAAGTAAAATTGTTTTTCATAATAAGATTTTATTTCGAACTTCTGTTAGTAACAATACACATTGGTAGATGGCACCTGTCATTTATAAACGTATTTAGGCTGATCGTCAAAAAAAAGGATGGGATCGGATAGTTTACAAGAGGTCGCTCCACAGCAGATGCTGGCAATTAATTTTTAAAATTTAATTAAAATTCAATTAATTTCCGAGATTTTAAATGCTTGGGAAAATTCTCATGATGCCATTGGAGTTTTTTGCGACTTATCAAAGGGACTGTGTCCATCACGAAATCCTAATCAAAAAACTTCAACACTATGGCATTGGCGAAAAAGCGCTAAATCTTATGGAATCATACCTGAGCGATATAATTCAAAAGGTAAATGTAAATGGAGCTATATCACAGGGATCCTCTGTTACTATGGGAGTACCGCAAGGCTCCATACTTGGTCCCTTCTTATTCCTCGTCTATATAAATGAGCTACCATTTCTTGTAAAGGAGCTTCACGAGATAGTACTGTTTGCTGATGACACTTCACTTTTTTTTAAAGTGAAACGACAAAATCCATCACTTGATAACGTAAACAGTGCCATCTCCAGTGTAATTCACTGGTTTAATACAAACAATCTTAAGCTAAACGAAAAGAAGACAAAATGTGTTAAATTTGTAACTACAAATGTAAAAAGTAGTCATTCTCAAATAATAATTAAAGACGAGGAAATAGACTTTGTTGATAATGCGGTGTTCTTGGGAATTACTTTATTTAAACTCCAGTGGGGCCGACACATAGAAGGTCTTTCGAATAGGCTAAGTTCCGTAGCGTTCGCAGTAAAAAAGATACGCGATCTTACGGATGAGAACACAGCAAAGCTTGTTTATTTCAGCTATTTTCATAGTATTATGTCATATGGTGTTATTTTGTGGGGTAATGCAGCTGACATTAAATCGATATTTGTAGTGCAAAAGCGGGCTATAAGAGCGATCTGCGGGTTGTCCCCACGGGAGTCGGTCCGAAGCAAGTTTAAGGAATTACATATTCTGACTCTGGCAAGTCAATACAGTTATGAGAATATTTTGTATGTGCGGAAAAATATAGATATCTTTAAAAAGAATAGTAGCTTCGATAATTATCGTACTCGTAATAAAGACAAAATTAGCGCACCAACCAGAAGGCTGCATAAAACGAGTAATTCTTTCCAAGGCAATTGTATACGTTTTTTCAACAAAATCCCTAGTGAGATACAAGTGTTGTCAATAAATAAATTTAAATCGTACATTAAAGTAAAACTGCTTGCTAAGGCTTATTATAATATAAATGAATATTTAAACGATCCTAGTGCTTGGATATGAGTTGCTCCAGTATAAATAGGTAACGCGAGTGAATCTCTCGGCTGCATTTCCAGACTCTGGGGCGATCGTCAACATCCACGACTGTTTTAATGTAAAGTGGGAACAAACCGTGATCCATGTGGTATCCAATTATTTCAGTATTATTATTATTTTCTTATGTAGCCAAGTCCACATTTCAAGGATCGTCATGCTCGCTTAAATGTCATTGCTTGTGGCGGCGTCCATGCGTCGGGTTGTCTCTCTCCCTAAAATATGGCGAGGGGGCCGATGGCTGGCCATGCGTCATACTCGTGAACGGGTGCTACTTGTGGTGACTGGTCGTACTTGAATTCGTGTATGCGGTGATGTTAATTATTTCGACTATGTGTTTGCGTGTTGTTCCCACGAGAACTCTCCTCCACGTAAGTGCGTGCTCCTATTTCACCATGCCTCCTGCTGATAGAGGACAACTCTTTGTTTTTAATTTATGTTATTATTATTAATTACTTAAGATGTCATGGGGAACATGGTTTAATAGTTGCAGCTCCTTACAAACGTTGTGTAAAAAAAAAAATGGCGATTAAAAAGAGTGGAGGAGAGTTTATTGCCAGTTCTTCTCTTCCGTTCTACGCCCTTGATTTGAGAACTGGCACTAAATGTAAAATTACAAGCATTAATATGTATTTCTTTACTGACAAGTCATAAGTGTACAATGTGTTACCTACATGATTAAATGATTTTTGAATTTGAATTTGAATATGTAATTTAAAAAAAAATGTTATTTCTCATATCAATATTTAAACGGTTTTCAAATAGTTAATGTAGGCCCCAGCAATCTTTAAACCTTAATTTATCTGTTCATAGTTTTTGAGACAACTGTTATTTAGAAATACCAAAATTTTAAAGATTCCTCTCTCTCTTGATCTTATAAAATTTCTTTCCACCCTTATTTTACTTACAAGGATTTACTTGGAATTTAAATGATTATTTTAATGTTGTTAACATTAACATATTACTAATAACTAACTAGCCAATAATTTCATCAGTATATATGCGTAGCTCATTCAGGTTCTATTGATCATGTTCCTCTTTTCTCATGATATTTCCTGTTGAGAATAGCTGTGTGTGTACTGTAGTGGTTTTTACCCCATAGACAAAGTGCATTAGTTAGATAGT